TGAATGCTTTTGCAAGAACAGGGGCCGCACATGCATGAACTCCAAGAAGTGAATTTGCCACTGGAGTTCAGGCATGAACCCCCACTTAGAAAGGCACTCAAGAGCGGTACCTTCAATAGAGTCCTCCTATGTGTTAGCCCAGTCTTGTTGTATACCACTTAGGTCATGGTGAGTCTTTCAAAAGTATCCCCATGAGCCTTTGGGAGACATGCTCATAGGGATGCTTTTGAAAGACTCACCATGACCTAGGTGGTATACAGCAGGACTGGGCTAGCAGAAAGGAGATGATTAAAATAGTGCTGAAGGTACCACTCTTGAGTGCCCTTTTAAGCTGCTGGTGGTAGCTCTTGAGAGCAGGGCTTCCCCCCACTGGCCAGCTGGTTGGCGGTGGGCAGGAGCCCATGAAATCGGGGGATCCCTTGCTCCCACCTGGGGACTGGCTCACCCATAGGGGCTTGCGGTGTCTTACAACATTAAAAGCAATAAGGTAAAAACAACATAAAAACAAATAATTATATTAAAATATTAAAATTAAAATATTAAACTACTAAAATATGTGGCTATCACCATAGCACTATCTTCTGTAAGCCACCCTGAGCCTGACTTGACGGGGTAGGGCGGTGTATAAATCGGAAAAATAAATAAATAAAAACACCCCAAACAGGTGGTTACCCTCCAAAGCCCAACCTAAACAATTCAACCTTGCATGCCCCGCAGAAACTAAACACATCTGGCAGGGCACAGGTGTCATCTGAGAGTGCATTCCACAGAGTAGGGGCCACAACTGAGAAGGCTCTTCCCCTAGTGACAGCTAACCAAGCTGCAAGAGGCCCATAGAGGATGACTAAAGGGAGCACAGTGGGGTTGTAACAGGAGAGGCAGTCCCGTAGACATGAGGGTTCCAGATTGTTAAGAGCTTTTAAAGGTTAGCACCAACACCTTGAATTTGGTAGCCAGTGCAGCTACTACAGAATTTGAATAATATGAGCTGACCATGATGTTCCAGTCAGCAACCTGACAGCTGCATTCTGGACCCCCTGCAGTCTCTGAAATGTTTTCAAGGGTAGCCCTACACAGAACAAATTGCAGTAGTCCAATCTGGAGATAACTATTGCATGGATCAATGTGGCAAGGTCTGACTGAGACAAATAAGGAGACAGCTGGCAGGCTTGGCATAGGTGAAAAAACACTCCCCATGCTATTATGGACACTTGTTTATCCGGTGATAGTGCAGAATCCAACCAGACCCTGAGGCTCCATCTTGGATGGATTCAACTTCAGCCAGCTCCTCCTTAACCATTGAACTACCGCTTCCAGACTCTGGGATAGTGCTGAGAGCCCTGCCAGGGGCTGCTTATCCAGCAGGAGGAAGAGCTGAGTGTCAAGAGCATATTGATAGCATCCAACACCAAACCTCTTGACGATCTTGGCGAGAGGTTGTATATATATGTTAAAAAACATCAGAGAGAGGATTGAACCTGTGGGACCCTATAATTCAGACCTCTTCTCCCTGATAGGAACCCTCTGAGAGCTTCCCTGGAGGAATGAGGAGAACCAACTAACGTCAGTGCCCCTTACCCCCAGAGAGGCAAGGCAGTCAATGAGTTCCAAATGGTCAACTGTATTGAAGACTGCTGATAGATCCAGAAGGATTAACAGCATACCTTTATTCAGATGTAAATGGAGATTGCCATACCTTTATTCAGATGTAAATGGAGATTGCCATACCTTTATTCAGATGTAAATGGAGATTGTCAACCAAAGTGACCAGTGCTGTCCCAAAGCCAAGCCCAAAGCCCAGTTGAAAAGGGTCCAGAGCAGTTATCCAGGAAAACCTGGAGCTGCCCAGCCACTGCTTGCTAAATTACCCTCTCCAGAAAAGGTAGATTAGACACTGGGCAGTAATTGGCCAGCGCCTTTTTATCGAAGGAGAATTTCTATAGCATAGGTCCAACAATCACTTCCTTAAGGGAGCTAGGGAAACTGCCACTTACCACATCACAGCATGATTTTACCAGCCCTGAGGGACAAAGATCCAAGGAGCACAGCTGTCAGGATTCTGTCAACATCCACAAGGGTGAGCAGGCCACAAGAATCCTAAAAAGAACCCAATGGTGAAGCACAGCCCCCATCCCACTACTGTTATCAAAATTTAGAAGCCACTCCAGACATAGCTTAAGAGATTTTATCCACAAAAAATTCATAAATGAATCATAGCTGAGATCCAAATCAATCCCAGTTTTAGGACACACCAAAGGGATGGTCAATTGTCGAACCAGTTGGAATAATTGAGCTGGTTGAGCTAGTGAACGTAATGGAGGTGATAAAATAATCTCTTTTGCCACTTTCACTGCCACCTCATAGGCCTTCAATTGTGCTCTCTAGTGTATTCTCACAGCTTCATCCATAGTTTGTCACCAATTTGCTCTAGCTGTCTGAGCAACCTCTTAAAATCTCTTAGACTCTCCTTATACCAAGGAGGCACAGAGACATGAGGGTAGCAGGGAGCAATCCGCCTGATAGCTTCCTGAAGACTTCTACTGAGATAACTACGGGCAGGTCCAGATAAATCCCACAGAGCATTTTGGAAACCATCAAGATTCATTAGTCTCTGCAGGTGAGAATAAATATGCTCATTGCCTCTGCAGAGGGGAATGGTCATCCCCAAACCAACCCTTACGAGGAAGTGGTCTAACCATGACACTGATTTACAAACAACCTTGCTATTTAGATCAAGCCCTGTGCAAAAGATCAAATCTAGCGTGTGGCCTAGTTCTTAAAGCATGCCAGCTCAAAGCATCCCCTCAGGATTACTCTCCTGGAGAAATGTGTTCTTATTTCTTACTGACCCGGCATAACACAGTATCAGGGTCAAAGAGAAGGGAATTAACTGGCCCTACACACTGTCATTCCTTGGAATGGGACAGAGATTAGAAGGGGTCCGAACATTGCTCTTTCTTACAACCGTTTGTGAAACAAATCTCTAATGACTCTTCCTTTTCTGAATCCAACTTGAACATCTGGCAAAAACAGTCTTTGTTGTAAGATTTTGAGCATTAGTGACATGATAAATTAATTCTATGGTCCAATAATTGCTGCAGTATTTGACATCTTTTTTCAGAACCGGCATGTAGATCGAGCATTTCCAGTCTGTGGGCCATTGTTTTGTTTCCCCTATTCATTTGGTATATTCTTGTTAAGATTTTAACGGACCCTGTTTCTGTGGCTTGAAACGAGGCAGCAAAAAGTTCCAAGTAAGTTGTTGAAGCCACTTTTCCAGGAGGTTTAAAGGTTATGGATATATATTTGTAAGACAGGGATTCCATGCACAAAATCTTGTGACAGAAACATTTGAGGAAACTAGAATGAAGGGAAAGAATGGAAGTATAAATCCCTGGAATAATACAATGTATTTATTTGTTGGTTTATTGGTTTGATTTGTATCCCGCCCTCCCCGCAAAGGGCAAGTTACTATTTCTTTGGGTCAGGAGAAGCCAATGTTGGATCAGGCCAAGGGCCTATGCAGTCCAACACTCTGTCACACAGTGGCCAATAATACCAGGTGCCATCAGGAGGTCCAGCAGTGGGGCCAGGACCCTAGAAGCCCTTCACTGTTGCCCCCCCCCCCGCATCAAGAATACAAAGCATCACTTTCCCCAGAGTTCCTATCGATATCTTGTGGCTAATAGTCACTGATGGACCTCTGCTCCATATGCTTATCTAATTCCCTCTTAAAGCTGTCCATGCTTGTAGCCACCACCACCTCCTGTGGCAGTGAATCCCATGTGTTAATCACTCTTTGGGTGAAGAAGTACTTCCTTTTATCTGTTCTAACCCGACCGCTCAGCAATTTCATGGAGTCCCCACGAGTTCTTGTATTGTGAGAAAGGGAGAAAAGTACCTCTTTTTCTACCTGCTCTATCCCATGCATAATCTTATAAACCTCAGTCATGTCACCCCTCAGCCTCGTTTCTCCAAGCTAAAGAGCCCCAAGCGCTTTAACCTTTCTTCATAGGGAAAGTGTTCCAACCCTTTTATCATTCTAGTTGCCCTTTTCTGCACTTTGTCCAATGCTATAATATCCTTTTAAAGGTGTGGTGGCCAGAACTGTACACAGTATTCCAAATGAGGTTGCACCATTGATTTATATAGGGGCATTATGATATTGGCTGATCTGTTTTCAATTCCCTTCCTAATAATCCCCAGCATAGCATTGGCCTTTTTTACTGCAGTTGCACACTGTCTTGACAATGTCAGTGAGTTATCTACGACGACTCCAAGATCTCTCTCTTGGTCAGTCTCTGCTAGTTCAGGCTCTGGGATAACAATATTTTTTCAGGCTCTGGGATAACAATAATCAGGAAGGGAAAAGGAGACAAGCATGGTTATTTATTAGCACACTCTATTAATGTAGGATTTGCTATTGTTGGCTAGCTATTAACAAGGATCGCTTAACCGATGGACCCTTAACATCTGCAAAAAATAAAACTTATTTAGATTTTATTGAATCTAAATTGGGTTCACTGGTTCAGGACGTAACTGGACTCCTGCAGAATGGTTCACCAATCTGTGAAGGAAGCAACTTTTGAAGAGCCTAGACAAACATGGGATTTCTGTCTGTCTTGTCCAAACAACAAGGAGAAATGTCATTAGCAGAAAGACTGTGTAATGTTGACGATCTCAGCACCTAACAGCTGCAGAATTCTCAGGTGAAAAGGACTCAGTAGATTAGAAGTTGTGTTATTGACTGGTCCCTGGATGCTTGTGACAGAGCAAGAACCAGTTCAACAGCCACTGATTCACTGGAAGATCGTTTTAGAAGAGGAGGGAAACTAGAGGGAAGTGACCCACTGTTTATCATATCAACAATCTGTTTGTTTTTCTTGCCCCTACGAGTCATCTATTTAAGGTCAGGGATGGGCAGTTCATTCCTAGTACTGCAGGCAGCAGGTTGGGCTCGTGTTCAGCTGCCTCTACTTTTGACTCCGTTTTGTCGCACTATGTCTTCTCAAAAACATCTGATGCCACCCCCTGCAGCTCTATTAAAGCCACTGTCTGTTCCAGACAGGCTACTGCTGGGCCCTGGGCCCTCCAATTGCCCCCCACGGATCTTGTCTGCAGGTGGTCGACAGATCATAGGACATGTCCACAAAGAGATGATTCAGGTAAGGGCTACAATCTCAACTTCTCCTCAGGCTCCCAGCTGTTCCCTCCAGGAACAGGAATCACTCAAAAAGGCAACTTAGTTGCACTTTAGCCCATAGTTCTTTTTCTTTACAAATTTTCGATTCATCCAATTGACTAAGAAATGCAATTTAGATTCAACAACAATAGTTCTCTATTCATCGTACTTACTGATCAAACCAGGAGCAAGTCCATTGTGGAGTCAGTATCTGGATTTTCTTCCTTATGCATGGGACTATTTTCTTGATGTTTCATCCTTGATTTAAGTGAACTAACATGAGTTGTAGGTGTTCCTTTGAACATGATCCACTAAGGAGATGTAACTCTTTAAAAATCGAACTCTTACAACTGATTATTGTTTATTTTTGGTGATTCCCATTTCAATATCTATCAGTTAAGATTATAGTCTTTTCAGCTCTGTTTCAGTCGAGTAAAATAATTGTTAATTGCTGGTCAGGCTGATCCCAGCACATAAACAGGATATAATGAAAGCTGCTTTCCCTTATGCCTTATCTGTCCCAAAGCCAGAAGGACACAGGAGCACTAAACACACATACAGGCTCACCGGATTTGAACCCTTCCCATATCTTCCACATTTTAAAACTCTTGTTTATAGGAAGACCAAATTTTTAAAAACTGTCCACTTTGGTCAAAAACTTTGTCCAGTATGAATATTCCCATGCCAGTTTTGTTTGTGTCTTGTGAGAAATGAACCTGGCAATGTTCCCTCTAAGATATGGAGCTCTGTGAGCAAAAATTCTACTCTGTGAGCTACTGGCATTAACGTTGTGAGCAGGAGATTTGGCTGCTGCATAAATTAGTTTGCTCTGGAGCCGTCCCTTCCTGAGCTAAGACAAAAATGTGTGAGTCAGAGGCTAAAAACCTGTGAGCTAGCTCACACTAACTCAGCTTAGAGGGAACACTGCCTGTGAGTCTTTATTATTGTACCAGTTTCTTATTCCTCAAATCCTTTTTTCTGTTAAAATTAACTACTTTTCAACAGTATTTATATTATTTGCATATAAATGGCACAAAGTAATACATCAGGAATGATCAACAATAGCAACCAAAATGGGGAAAACCAAAACTGTTGACAATGGCAACATGTGAAATAAAAAAGAAACACAAATGGGCACATCAGTGAATTTCTAATGGTATCAAGCAACATGATTATGACATTCCTTGGGCTTTCTTCATTTATTTAGTACATTTTTAATCCCACCCTTCTTCCAAGGAGCTCAAAGCAGTGTGCATCATGCGCCCTTCCTTCATTTTATTGTCACAAAAAAACCTGTGAAACAGGGGAGATTGAGAGAGAGAGAGTGGCTGGCCCAAGACTGCCCAGCAAACTTCAGGGCAGAGTGAGGGTTTGAACGTGGGTCTCTCAGAGCCTAGTCTGAAACTCTTACTCCACATTGGCTTGTGTGATATTCCACCTATATATTATGATACCTTCATGTTTGCTGCAGAACACCACAAAGACTTTTTTGCATGTGCAATTGAAATTTTGTGCCTCCTAGACACACACAGTCTTTTTTCTGCTTATGACCACAGCACACAAAGACAGGCAGCTTCAGGTCCCTTCCCCCCCACCCCCACCCCTTGTTTGCAACTCCACAAATTGCCCCATGCAAGAAATTTGATGCTTACAACAGAGCCAATAGCACCTCCATGGGGAGGTTTGGGGACATGAAAACAGTGGGAGAGGCAGGCTGAAACCGCTTCTCCCTTTATGCTGTACCTACAAAAAGAAAAGAGACAGTGCACATCTGGGAGGCACAAAACTCCCTCTGCATATGTGATATGAAGTCCTCATGTTGTTCCCCAACAAACACAAGGACTTTAATGTGTAGATGGAGCCTTAGTAATTGAACTTTTCCCCTCACACAAGAGCATGGTAGCTGTTCCTATGTCATCCCATGAAGGAAGGAGAATCGCATACACCCTGAAGTCTTTAGAGGCAAAGTGGTACAAAAAATATAACAGTCTTAGAAATAATGAAAAATAGAAAATTCATTCAGAAATTTTGTATGCTTCCTCTCCAGATGTGCTCAAGGTAGCTCACAACAATACAATAAAATCAAGCAGACAATAAAAACAAATCATACCAGTAAAAACATATCAATAAAACAATTCAAATCAATATAAAATGCCAGCAAAAGCAAGCTGGAATAGAAAAGCACATAAAACAGCTGTTTAGAATGACAGATAAAACAATCCTTTACCTAGGAAGAGACCATAAAATAGCAAAAAGAGATGGAAACCTTTTGGTGTTTCCTAAGACTACACCCCAACCCCTCCAGAGAGCATTATGCTCTAGGGAGCAAAATCTCCTGGTGATCCCTGGCCCAAAAGAGATCTGGCTGTCCTCAACCAGATGCTGGCCTGGTGGGACTCTCTGTCTAGTTACATCCGCACCATGTGGGACTTGGTCCAATTCCACAGGGCCTGTAAGACAGACATGTTCCACCAGGCCTACAGTTGAGGGCAGCAATGGTTTGTCATCGAGCCTGGCCTCCATTATTACCCTCTCCCCTCTACGAGAAGGGTATAAATTGGTGGTCAACGCCATCTGAACCAACTTTAACTTACATTGTTGTTGTTTTAGCTGTTTTAACTGCAATTTGTTTTGACTGTATTTCATTATTATCAATCAATAATACATATTTACTGAGTGTCGTACGCCGCCCTGAGGCCTTTCGGCCTACCTTAGATCTGCAGGTGAAGGTACAGAGAGCAGGCTTTGAGAAGAGAATCTCAACTGGCAAGCTGGGAGATATGTGAGAGGTGGTCCTGCCATAGAAATAGACTACCAACATGTTTTGTGCTGTAAGGAAATTTAAAATTCATGAGCAGGACTTCAGTTCTAGCGGGGACTACACTGTTGCAACACTTTAAAAATTGTGTTCTGCCCTCAGTTCAGCCTCTTCAGGCTAGTGTCTATGATAGTGAATACATAACCATTTGTGGATAGACAACACCATTATCGTTTTCTCCAGTGTATATAACTTTCAAGAACCATGGATGAAAATGCAGTTTGGCTGCTGGCTTTGGGAAGACTTTTTAAAACTTTGCTTCTTGCCCTCAGATAATGCATGAGATCAAGCTAGGAATCCAGTATGCATTCCAGACACAGAACCCACTCACACTGGCTGTCAGTGGTACTGGCCACTGTGCCATGGAAGCTGCCTTCCTGAACGTGGTGGAGCACGGAGACAAAGTGCTGATCGCTATGAATGGATTTTGGGGCGAACGAGCAACCGACATTGCCAAGAGGCTTGGTATGTATGGACCCTTCTCTCTAACCTGTAGTTAGCACCAAGTTCGCTCTAGGTAGAAGTTGTGAAACTCAGATATGTTCTGTCATAGCCATGCCATTCCACGGGTCTTTCCGAGGGTCTTTCACTGTGCAGAGATTGCAGTGACTCAAGATATATGTTCTGTGATCCCTTCACATGTACAGTAGAGCATGTTGCTGGTTCTTTAAAAACTGCCAAGTGCTCCAGTGCAGTCTCTCCTGATTTGCACTTCATACTACTATTGTAAGTAAAATAGGGTACTACAAGTTTACACAAAGGGTTTGTCTTAAATGTTCTTTCTTTTGTCTTCTTAATTGGAAGAATCATGTTTTTAATTTGATTTCATGGTGGGGTAGAAATTAGTGCATGATTAAGTACTGACTTGAGTAGAAATCATAGCAATTAGAGATTAGCTGATTCTTCCAACTCCATGAGGTTCCCTTCTCTTTGCTCCTGGCGTATTGCTCCAAAGTCTTCTACCAAGTATCACAGAACTTCATGAAGCAGAATCCAAGAGTAGAAAAAAGGTTCCTCCCAGGTCCATAAAGACTGCAAGCTCCAGGTGAATTTTTCTCAGGGATATCACACTCACATAGAACCAAAAATAAGAACAATAAAGAAAGAACACATTAAAGTATTTTGGCGCATAAACACTCAGTTTTGAAATACTATTTTTGTTTGCTTCTTTCCCTTTTGCAATACATGAGTGTGCTTTTCCAGGTATACTTGAATCTCAAGGTTGCAGAAGTGTGCACTCATAGGACTTTTAAAAAGATATCCCACATTGCCAGTTTCTGCAGACACCAGAGGAAAAAAATGGGAAAGGTGAACTCCCCACCACCATGGCCTGAGTGTTCACTTAAACACTCAGAGAAGATTTCAACATGAAGAGCACTGGGGAGGTGGGGACAAGATTAGATCTCAAGATTTTATAAGGGAGGATCACCTCCAACAGCAAAGAGCCTTGTAACACACAAGCTCACAAGTTTACCACCTCTCGCGCGAGAGGTCATTCTGGCTCCCCCACCTCTCCTTAGGGGCTCTTTAAAAAGGTATGGGCATGGAACAGGGGTCACTGGGATGGGGGGGGATTGGTGAATTTCCTGCATTGTGCAGGGGGTTGGACGAGATGACCCTGGAGGTCCCTTCTCACTCTATGAGTCTATGATTCTATAATTCACCCAGGCTGGCTGTGGGCACGCCAGCACCTCTGTCAGGCAGAAGCGCCTGAGATCCTCCCCCTCCCCTTTTCCTTCAGCCGACTTGGAGGCAAAGGGAAGGGAGAGGGGGGGAAGAATGGATCCCAGGTGCTTCTGCCTGTCAGAGGGGCTGGTGCACACTTCCGGTGATGTCAGTGGGTGTGGCATATGCTAATAAGTTATGCTAATGAGCTCCTGCAGCTCTTTTTCCACGAAATGACCCCTGGGGCCAACAGACCATGAAACCTATGAAGGAGTAGTAGATCTGCAAAATCCAAATGTATATGTGACATGAACAATTTTCAGAGAGAAGTATCTAGGTTAATCTATTATATTAAAAACAAGTGTCCAGTGTAACTTTTCCTAGTTTGTGCTGCATACTATTAAAGTAAGTATATGCCAAAGGCTGTGTTCTAGACTTCATTTTCTTTTGGCTTACTTAAAATGCTGATTCTGCTGTATTCAGAAATTATGAAACCTTACTGATGTTTAACAATAAAGGCTAGCAGATTTATTGCAGTGTAAGTTTCCATGGGCTACAGGCCACTTCCCTAGATGTATGATGTTATCTTCAGATAACAGGCCAACAGATATTATATACATGGGTACAGAAAAAACAGAATGTAAAAAATCCCCCATGGAACTTGTTCTTTTTAAATTTACATTTGGACTCAGCAGACCTACTGCTGCTTTTTATGTTTAATGGTCTTTTGAGCCCAATGCTTACATTTTTCCTTCATATTCATGAAATACCTATATGAAGATAATACTTCCACACATCTGACAAAGTGGGCTGCAATAAATCTGTCAGTCTTAAAGGTTCTGTAAAACTCACCTACTGTTTCTGCTGCAACTGGCTAACCCAACACCCCCTCTAAAATAGCCATGAATACTCCTCTCCTATTCTTGCCTCCCATCCAACATTTCTTTGCCTTAAGAAATAACAGATTTAATGATTAACAGTGGCATTCCATTTTAGCCTACTGTTCAGTTTCCCATGGGACTTGACTGGACTTTGACAGGCTGCTGCTATGTACTAAAGTTAATACATGACTCATTTCAAACAGGAAAAAATGCTGTGGCCTTATTGGTACTGGTTGTGGTCTGCTACAGAATCAGAATGAGAGCTGTGTTTATGTACTCTTTCACCAGGATTGGAAATTGGACTCTTACATTACAGGTTGATACACACCATGTTTCACGGGCTGAAGATCAGTGTATTCCTATAGTTCTTAAAGGTGTATAACTAATTTTCATTTCTGTTAATATTTAAATGGTTTCTGTATTAGTTGTTCTGATTCTTGGATTTTTAAGCCACCTCAAGCACAATACTGTGGAGAAATGGGACAATAATATTTAAATAAACAAGCATGAGTTGTCTATTTTGTTGGATTTTGACATATTGAAGCGGCAAGTCAACTTGTGCTAAATGGTAACTTTTCCCAAGGAACTTGTGTCATGGTTTCAAGTCCTTCTTAGCCACAAGATTGCATGTGTATCTGAATGCTAGATAAGCATCTATGTCTATTTCAGCCTTTCTGTTTCAGACCGTTAAAAGGGGTCATATATGGTCCCTATTATTTTCATGCATACAAGGCACTAGACAAATTAACAGTGCCCTCCTAAGTCCAAGGGTTCAGCTCTGCATAGGATAGTACTACAAGGGAATCATCCCTGATTGTGGTAAGCAATGAAACCCATGTTACCTGTCCTGAGCAGGGCCTGATGGGCTCTCAGTGAATTGTTATTTAATAGTACTCCCCAGGAATTATGAGCAGTTTCTTTCTCTTAAGAACATAAGAGATGCCAATGTTGGATCAGGCCAAAGGCCCATCCAGTCCAACACTCTGTGTCACACAGTGGCCAGAAATACCAGTGCCATCAGGAGGTCCACCAGTGGGGCCAGGACATTAGAAGCCCTCCCACTGTTGACCCCCCCCCCCAAGCACCAAGAAGACAGAACATCACTTGCCCCAGAGCCCCTATCTATACCTTGTGGCTAATAGCCACTGATGGACCTCTGCTCTATATGCGTATCTAATTCCCTTTTGAAGCTGTCCATGCTTGTAGCCGCCACCACTTCCTGTGGCAGTGAATTCCAAGTGTTAATCACTCTTTGGGTGAAGAAGTACTTCCTCTTATCCATTCTAACCCGACCGCTCTGCAGTTTCATGGAGTGCCCACGAGTTCTTGTATTCTTCTTCTCCTTTACAGTATGATATGCAAATAACATGATTTGTCATTTGTCACCTTGTAGGTGCAGATGTTTACCAGCTTGTAAAAGCCCCTGGAGAGTATTTTACTCTAGAAGAAATAGAGAAGGTGAGTTTTTGGCAAATCACATTGAAAGTAAAGCAAAAGTATTCTTAGTATTCATTTGACATGAAACATGAATGGATTTCATTTCCCTAAAATCCTTGTGCAGGGAGTTGGGAGATACCATTTAGGGACGTGTCTCTCTTGACTTCTTTTTCTAGCACATTATTTCTCCCTTCCATTGTCTCTTACAGAGCTTGGTGCAGCACACTCCAGTTTTGTTTTTCATCACTCATGGAGAATCATCTACTGGAGTAGTTCAGCCATTAGATGGCCTTGGAGAACTTTGTCACAGGTCAGTAGGACCACAGAGGTCAGACTTCAGATGCAACAGGTATCTCAGAAATCAGTCAGTGAACTCATACTATAAGATGACTAACTTACTGTGTATGCTGTAGCCCGCACCTTCATGTGAAGCTACAATGGATAAGGGGAAGACAGAGCTCGACAGTTATGAAGATGGACTAGCAAGCTGAAGCTCCAAATCCTGGCAAAGCCTGGGAACAACTCCATTACACCAAATAAAACTGGTTTTACAACTCAGAGAGAACTCTGGTACTGGGGGGAATAGATATCCCTCTGGTAGATATTACCTCTGGTACTAGAGAAAGTAGATATCCATCATGATTGGTAGCCATTGACAGCCCAAGTCCTCCATGAATCTGTCCACTCCCCTTTTAAATCCTTCCAAGTTGGTGGCCAGTGGGTGATCCCAGGTTCTCATATTATGGGAGAAGGAGAAAAGTTTCTCCCTGTCCATTCTCTCCATGCCTTGCATAACTTTATAAACCTGTTTCATGTCTCCCTTTTCTCACCTATGTTTTGGTTGAACAGTCCTAAGTGTTTTAACTGCTCCTCATAGGGAAGCTGCTCTAGCCCCCTGATCATTCTGGTTGCTCTTTTCTGAACCTTTTCAAACTCTACAATATACTTTTTCAGGTGCAGTAACCAGAACTGTACACAGTATTTCAAGTGCAGTCTCATCATAGATTTGTATAAGGGCAGTATGATAGTGGCAGTTATATTTTCTATCCTTGTTCTAATTATGGTCAGCATGGAATTTGCCTTTTTCACAGCAGACACATAGTGGGTTAGCATTTTCATTGAGCTATCCACTACTATCTCCAGGTTGCTTTCTCAGTTGGTTGCTACCAGCTCAGATCCCATCAGTGTATATCTGAAGTTGGGATTATTTGCCCCAAAATGCATCAGTTTACACTTGCTCACATTGAATCTCATTTGCCATTTGTATGCCCATTCCCCCAGTCTGATGAGACCCTTTTTGGAGCTCTTCACAATCTGTTTTTGTCTTAACTACCCTAAATAAGTTGGTGTCATCTGCAAACTTGGCCACCTCACTACTCACCCCTAACTCCAGGTCATTTATGAACAAGTTGAAAAGCATCAGTTCCAAAATAGGTCCCTGAAAGACCTCGCTGCCTGCTCACATCTCCACTGAAAGAACTGACCATTTATTTCTACTCTCTGCTTCCGGTTTTTTAGCCAATTTCCCATCCTCTTATCCCCTAACTCTGAAGTTTGCTCAGACGTCTTTGGTGAGGGACTTTGTCAAAAGCCTTCTAAAAATCCAAATAAATACTGTCCACCAGCGGATTCCTGTCCACATGTTTACTGACACTTTCAAAGAAGTCTAAAAGGTTAGTGAGACAGGACTTACCTTTGCAGAAGCCATGTTGGTTTTTATTCAGCAGAGCTTCTCCTTCTATATGCTTGCCATTTTATCTTTAATCTTTCTACCAGTTTACCCGGAACAGGCATTAAGTTAACTGACCTGTAATTTCCTGGATCCCCTCAGATCCTTTTTAAAAAATGGGAGTTACATTGGCCAATCTCTAGTCCTCCGGTACAGAGGCTGATCTTAGGGACTCGTGGTATATGTTAGTTAGAAAATCAGTAATTTCAGTCTGCTATTTGTCCATACGTTCTAGAACTTCCTCCTTTGTCACCACTATCTGTCTAAGCTCCACATCCTCCCCTCCTGAATATATCCATTCACAAACAGCTATTTGCCTTATATCTTAAGTAATGAATATAGATGAGAAGAATGCATGTAGCTTCTCAGCATTTGTCTTTTTCTCCTTTAATAGTTCCCAATTGGTTCAGCCACCTCCACATCTTGCACTAGGTAGGTACTGGGGAGCATCACTGAGAATTAAATCCAGGGTTACTTTTCCCTTTGGTCAGTTCCCTGACCACCTTCTCTAAGGCAAAGTCATTTAGGGTATCAATAAATTTTGCCTTTTTGGCATGACTGGAACATGAATTTATCCAGTCAATATTAGGATAGTTGAAGTCACCCATTATTACAATTGCCTCTCCTCTGGATGCCTCCTGGATTTCATTTTCCATTTCAAGATCACCCTGAGCATTTTGGTCAGGGGGCCAATAGCATGTCCTCAGTACTTAATTACTTTTGAGGCCCAGTATTGTCACCCACTGTGATTCTGTGGAGGAGTTGGCCCCTTTTAAGGTTTCTAGTTCATTAGACACTATGCCTTCCTTGACGTACATAGCAACACCTCCTCCGGTATGCCCTTTCCTGTCATTCCTATAGAGTTTGTATCCAGTGATGACTGTATCTCCCTTCCACAATACTTGTTATATTCACTATATCTGTTTTCCCTTAAAACTAAGCATTCCACCTGCCCCGTTTTGGGTCAGAGGCTCCTGGTATTGGCATAGAAACACCGCCACACTGTGTTTTTCTCTAGACGTCTCTGGCATCTGCCTTTTCCACTCTATAGTCATTTGGCCTCTGGTTGGCTACTCTGCTTTAATCTTCACTTTCCTATCCCACCACCCATTGTACCCTCTAGACTACTGTAATGAAATCTACGTAGAGCTGTCCTTGAACACAATCCAGAAGCTATCAAGCGCTAGTCACTTTCCACAGATAACAGCTATTTCATAACATCTTTATTGGTTACCTTCCAGGCTCAGTTTAAAGTGCTGTTGCTCATTTATCAGGCCACTGAAACTCAAGACCTCCATAATTGAAGGCCTGCATCTCCCAGCATATACCTGGGCACCAGTTGTGCTTATCTAACTGGTGTCTGCTTTGCATCCCATTCCATAGACTATTATTTTTCCTGCTGCTGCTCAAGCCCAAACAGTAGCTAACTAGGCCAACATAGTGAAAGACCCTGTCTGAAGAAATGTGAGGGGCTCCTCTCTCTCTCTCTCTCTCTATTTTTAAAGAGCATATAAAGGCAGAGCTTTCACTGGGACTTTTTAAAATTGACAAGTTATAGTGCAGGCTGTATTTCTCCAGCTAGATGTTCAGAGTCTTCTTAACTAATGTTTGATAACTCTGTGCAAATTTGTTGTCATGACATAAATACTGCATATATTTCTGCATGCTGTAAGCTATCATAAGGCTTCCAGAAAAGACACATACAGAGAAAATGGATTTTATCCTTGCTAGGGCTCAGACTGGAGGTCTGAAATGCTTTTCTCCTTCATTTTTTTTAAACTCAAAGATGCTTGGGCAGGCTATGAACAAAAAGGGGGAGCAGTCTATGAAATAACAGAAAGAAAGATAATACTGCAGTGTAACCAATTGTTGTATAAATAATAATGAAACTAAACAGTTGAACTATATTAAAATTGTGTATTATTTTATTTATATTAGTGAGTGAATTTATTAAATATAAATATTCTAAACATAAATCTTACATGAATACCAATAAGCACAATAGTTATTACAAATCCATTATTACAATTGTGTTCAAAAAGTATGGAGACTATTGGATTGGCTGGGATACAAAATCTTCACTCGGGGTTCCAGCTCTGAGGAGATTGTCTTTCTGTTGACAGTGAGATTTTCTTATGAAGACTGATGGAAGCAGGAGTAGACCTAGGCTTTTCATCAAATTCACCTTTCAGCTCAGCTAATCAAGCCCTTTCTTCCACTCAGTTTATTAGCCTTATGGTGTAGTGGTTAAGTGCGTGGACTCTAATCTGGGAGAACCGGGTTTGATACCCACTCCTTGCACCTCTGGAAGAGCTTGGGCAAGCCATAGTTCTGGCACAGCTGTTCTTGAAAAAGAGCAGCTTCTGTCAGGGCTCTCTCAGCCCCACCTACCTCACAGGGTGTCTGTTGTGGGGAGGGGAAGGGAATGGAGTTTGTAAGCCACTCTGAGACTCCTTTGGGTAGTGAAGGGTGGGGTATAAATCCAATCTCCTCCCCCTCCCCCTTCTTCATGGTTTAGTTTATTTGAAAATGGACTTTAGTGGATAGATTATTACAAATGTTGCTTCTTCACAAACATCTGTATTGACTTCATTGCATCAGCATGTATTTTTTCTGAACAGAATTGTAATAATGGATTTGTAATAACTATTGTGCTTATTTGTATTAATGTAATATTTGTTTAAATATTTATATTTAGTAAATTCACTCACTAATTTAAATAACATAATACAGAACTTTAATATAACTCAACTGTTTGTTTAGTTTCATTATTATTTATTTACAGAATTGGTTACAGTGCAGTGTTATCTTCATTTCTGGGCAGGCTATGAGGCAGAGTGTTGGAAAGATAAATTTGGCAAGTGACAGTTCAAAATTAGCCTTGCCAGGCAGCTTTTTCACCAACTGGGGAATAGAAGGTTCCCATTTATTCCTGCCTCCCAGCAGTGAAAAAGCCATCTGCCAAGAACTTTGATGTGAAAAGCTACTGGAGAGGAAGGGGTTAAGCAGCTGCTCTCCTTATTCACCTACTGCATGCTGTTTGCTTAAAAAAACAACTACACTGGAAAGAATAACAGAACCCCACATAATGTGTAGCCTATATTCTTTCTTTTCTCATTTTAGGCATAATTGCTTGCTGCTGGTGGATGCTGTAGCGTCACTAGGGGGTACTCCAGTTTTCATGGACCAACAAGGTAGGCAATACATAGAAATCCGCCACTGTAACAAGAATGTGTCTCAATTTTAATTGTACATACAAAATGGAGTTTACTGACTTCTGAGTTTCCAAAGATTTCCTTGTCTAAGCATCCTTAGTAAAGGCTCACGCTGGGAGACTGAAGCTCTGTTTGGGACTGGGTTCCACTACCAATAAAGTAACACCAGCAAGGAAACAAACTCATTAGAAGAGATACTGTGTTCCTATGATATCTCCCTTATAAATAAAAGCCGAATGGTGGTGGCACTTCTCTAGAACATTCCACATCCTCCAAAATCAGTTCGCTCTCTGATCCGTCATTCAGAGGGTCTCCCTATCCACTGGCTGCATTGCCTGAGTCCTGCCTCCAACATTCTAAACATTTTGCTAATCTTCTCCCCCCCATAGCCAGTCAGAACACAGAGGTTATTTGCATATGCAGCCTCATTGGCCTCTGCCTCGGAACACAGAGGTCGTTTGCACATGCGACTTGATTGGCTTTTGCCTCTAACATTCTAACCAGTTTTGCTGTTCTGAGGTAAAATGTGTCCAGGTGAGGGCTGGAGATCACGCAGAATTACAACTGCTTTCCAGATGGCAGAGATCAGTTCCCCTGGAGAAAATGGTGGGCTCTGTATCTTTATATGGTGCTGACGTATGACAGCCAATGTGACGTAGCAGCCAGGGCTTCAGAGCACGGGAGAGGCTGCGGGTGTGTGGGGGGGGGGTGGAAAGCTGAAGAGGGGGAAATAAAGGTAGGTTGATGATTGGCTGGGCAGGAGATAGGGTTGCCAACTCCAGGTGGGAAATTCCTGGAGATGCGAGGGATGGAGCCTGGAGAGGGTGAGGTTTCAGGAGGCGTGGGACCTCAGACAGGTACAAAGCCATAGACTCCACCCTCCAAACCAACTATTCCCTTCTGGGGAACCATCATTGCCAATCTCCAGGTGAGGGCTGGAGATCACTCAAAATTACAACTGTTCTTTAGGTAGCAGAGACCAGTTCCTCTGGAGAAAATAGTGGACTCAGTGTCATTATACCCTGCAGAGGTCGCCACAGCAAATTGACACTGAGTGTCCAAGGCCAAGGCACCCACCCAGAGCCTCTTTCTAGAGGCCGATGTATTTATTTCCACAATGGGCCTTTCTCCTAGTATTATATAAGGCTGGTATGCAGGTTTAAAACAAATGGTTCTTATATGACCAATTAAGAAATGTGTAGGCCATGGTATTCCACACAAGCTATATGAACATATTTATTTTGGTTTGACCACTTTTGCTAACACATATCCCCTCCGAAAAGAATTCTGGGACTCAGAGCTTTGTGAGGTGCTATCAGAAATTCCTAGCCCCTGTCTCAGAACAATCCTTAGCATTTTGTTGAAACAGAGAAAGTTAAATCAGTTTAAATGTATAATGTGGACATGCCATCCAAATATAATTTTAAAGTTTTAGATTTTCTTTAGTAATGTTAAGTTTACCAAACTTACCAGAGATGCTAAGGGGTATCTTAAATTTGGCATAGCTTAGTGCCTCAGCACTGCTCATTGTGGAGACAAGAGATATATAAATATTTTCCCCAAATGATTTCTGAAACTGGTCTCTCATTCAACTGCCTTATAAAACAACTGAAGTAGTAGCGTGGTATTAGATGACCATACTAAAAAAACTGGACAGATAACCAGACAAGTTTTTGGTAAAGTGGCAACCTTTGGAAAAATGGTAAACTTCTTCCCATGTTAGGAACTCTAACAAGTTTCCCCCCCTCCTACTGAACACACAGGAATTGACATTCTCTACTCTGGTTCCCAGAAAGTCTTAAGTGCTCCACCTGGTGCTTCTCCCATCTCTTTCAGCATGAGAGCCAGGTAAGGCTAGATTTGTGAGATGCCTCATTCTCAGCAGCATGATGGATTCAAAGTACCTTATCAGAAAAAAAATAGCAAAGGTAAAAGGAAATGTGCAAATCAATTTTTCTCCTATTGTACTAGTTAAGTACCTCCATCTACAAGTAATACAAAATCCAGTTCTGCTTCCTAATTCCAAAGTTGAGCGTGTCATAGAGAGATCTACAGCCTGCTGCTTGTTTCTGTCAAAGAGAACTCAGTGATGGCTTTTGAAATTCCAAGGAATTGCCAGAATATTATTAACAGATTGCTTAGACCAGCAATCCGCAGTGTGGCACCACTGGTGCCCATTTGCTTCTTGCCCAAAGCAAATAGCCAGTTCTGGGTTTCTTCTACCTGATCAGTACTGCAGCTTGTTCAGAAGAATCCAGAAGAATGTTATCTTCAATAAACCTTATTCAGAATTGGTTGCATCCATCATTGTAGGATACTAGGCTTGCAGCCTCCTAGCATCCTGTGATAAAGCCCTGGTAGCCCAGCGCCCTATGGCAACCATTTTGCGATTGGCCCTGGCCCCTATGACAGTCATTTTGTGGTGGTACCCACTTACTGTCCTCAAAATTCCAAAAGTGCCTGTAGGCTCAGATAAGTTGGGACACCCCTGGCTTAGACACAGTCAGTTTTCAACTTTCTCATAGTTGTGAGCACTGGCTGTTAAGCATGCTGTTCATGGCTGTGATTTCTCAATTCAGTCTATGGTTCTGCTTCAAATGCACTGTGCTCTGAGGTAGAAAAGCAAAGAGTACAGGAAGTTTGTGAAAGGTGTCATCATTTTGTATTAAAATGTTCACATGTGTGCAAGAGGCATGATACCCCCAACAAAACATTCAGACCCTCCCACAGGTTCCATGGTTAGCAACTTTCCCAAGGAGCATGTCACTATGTGTGCTAACTCTAGTATCCAGTCAGGGTCATTTACAGCCAGTACTACAGGTACTTGCAAATTTAATTTCCTGCTTGGCTCAATTTTCATGAGAATTGACCCTTGTCATGCAGGATAGTGTGGCTTAAGCTTATACCACCATAGTGAAAATAAAGTGTAATGTCCAGAATTTATACTTGAGCTACTGTCTGAAAGGCCACAAATGGATTTCCTGAAATGTCCAATATTTTTTCACATTGTCAGGAAGAAGATTTTCAACAGGAAGACAAAACCAACCTCCTTCTATCTGGATGTAGAAGAACTGGCTAAATACTGGGGCTGTGATGACAACCTAATAAGGCAAGAGAGCTTATCCACTTCCTTTCCAAACTGCAAAGCAGCTGCCTGGTTCCCAGGAAATGGAAGGGCTGCAACACTGTTACCAGTCCTTACAGCAATACTGCCATTCACCACTTGAGCCTTAAAGCTATAGCCCCAAATCCTCACTATGCGTGAAAAAGCAAATTAGGCAGAGGGAGTCAGATTTTTTTAAAAATTGCAGGAGAAAGTGTTAAGCAGCCCCCCTCCTGCCTACTGCTCTTGCCTTCAGAGACCATTTCCGCACAAGGAATGCATAGGTGCATAGGTGTTCTTAAATAACTGAACTATGCAAAACTTTCTGCATGTTTTGCTTTCCCAGGGATAGATTCGAACTCATTACCTCCTTACCCTACGTTTCCCATATTCCCTTTTTCTGTGATTTTTTTTTCCCATTTGGATCTTGACTCACAGTTTTCCAGTGAGGAATTATCATATTCGAATTTAGTTTCCAGCTGTGCCACCTTTTTAGATCGTCAGTGATGCATGTCTATCCTGCCTACCACTCTCTCACCTCCCAGGTTTTCCCAGAGACATCCGCCATTTAAAAAAAAATAATATCGATTGCATTACAATACAATTTTGTCCTTTAAAATACAGCGATGTTATAATATCACTCTGGGTATCAGTGGGCTGGCTGAGGGGTCTCAGTCCATGGCCAGGTCTCCCCCGGCATGGCAGGATGGCTGTTAAAGGGAATGCTGCCCCCTTTCACCTCCCTCCCCCACTCCTACCCCGCAAGCCAGCCTTCCGAGGGGTATTTAGTGTGTGCTTCTTTTCTCTCTCTCTCCCCTAAACATTCCGGAGTAGGATCAGTTAACGCTGGCGGAGAGGGAGGAGGAGAGAGAGAGAGAGTCAGAAGCAAGTGAGTGAGGAGGAGGAGCCATGGCTGGTGCCAAAGCTCCAGCCCTCAACAACTGTTTCCCCCCCATTTAAAATCCATCTCACTCTTTGGGGGTGAGGGAGGAGAGAGAGAGAGAGAGAGGCAGTAGCAACTCCAAATTTAATTTGCAGTGGCCACAGAGCAGATATTTAAAGAGTGGACAAAGTTGTCCAAGAGGGCATCACTTCTTCCAAGAGAGTGCTGGGTGTGGACATGAAAAAACACAATTATCCCCCCCTCCCCAGTCTGAGTCAGAGCAAAGTTTTTAAATTATTTTTTTCACAATGTAATGATGTTGTAACGTTACTGTGGATGAAAAAAATATATTTTTAAAAGGAAGGCTCCATTAATGACTAAGTGCATGATGCGAGGCAGCATGCCCCCCCCCCCCAAAGTAAATGTGGAACGCATGGGGCAGGATCAATCCTGAATCAAAACCGAAAAATACGAAGTAAAAGCCCTATTGCACCAGACGTGTCGGAAGTCAAAGCATCAGACAGGAATTTAACTCACTGGTAAAAAGAAGTAAAACCATACTGCGGAAATGGTCAGAATATACAAATATACATCGCATTCAATACTGATGTGGTGGGGGGATTCTGAATCACGCAACTGGGCACCATTTGTACTTTCAGACACAGGCATTTCAAATCCAGAAGGAACAATGAACAGTCCACAATTTGTTATGAGTCCCTTGTCTTAAACAGACATTAGAACAATGCTCTCACATGGTTCTCCTGCTCCGTAATATGAAATGTTTAGACAATCCAGTTTATGTATGCTGAGCATCTCTTCCTTGTATTGCATGCATTTTTACAGGTATCATCATACTGCACCTATCAACACATTCTTTGGTCTACGAGAGGGATTAGCAATTCTCGCAGAACAGGTCAGTCACCACATATCAAAGAGAAGGAGTGGAATGGGTAAAGAAAAAAAGACTGTCGAAATAACAGTGTGTGTGTGTGTGTGTGTGTGTGTTAAGTGCCATCAACTTGCTTCCAACCTATGGTAACGCTATGAATTAATGAACTTCCCAAATGTCCTATTGTTAACAGCCTTGCTCAGGTCTTGGAAACAGAGGACCATGGCTTTCTCAATTGCTCAATAGGGATGGGCATGAACCTAAAAAGGGCAGTTTGAGGCGGCCCACAAATTGAACCCCGGCAAGTTTGGTTCCCCATTTCTCCTGGCCACGGATTGCTGAAACAAGGAGAAAGGGGGTGGGGACTACCCTGGAAGGGACTTTCCTTCAATCTTTCTCTTGGGCGCAGCTCACTGAGGCCAGAAGAAAGGGGGGGTTCGCCCGGGAAAAGACTTCTTTTTCCTCCTTTGTCCTGGACACGAGTCACCGCAGCCAGGAGAAAGGGGGCAGGGATTGCCCGGGAAGGGTTAAATGGCTGCCAGCCATTTAGACCTAACAGCTGAGTGGTGGACCCTACACTGCTCAGGCTGTCAGGTTTAAATTAAAAAAAAACCCACAGGCTTCAGTGTGAATATAGAGCATATATATATATATATATATATATATATATATATTCATTCTATATGTTAATAGCTGGCAACCATTTAAACATTTGGTTTTGCTCCCCGCCACTTTGAAGGTGGGGAGCCAAACCAAAAGATTAAATGGATCCCAGCCATTTAAACCTAACAGCTGAGAGGTGGACCCACTGAGCTGTTAAACCAGCCATTTAACCCTTCAGTTTTGCTCCCCCCTTCAAAGTGGCAGGGAGCCAAGCTGAAGAGTTAAATGGCTGTCAGTCAGCCATTTAAACCTAGCAGGTCAGCAGTGGACCCCATGCTGCTCCACTGTTAAGATTTAAATGGCTGACCCTGAGCAGCAGAACCGAACTGGCCAAAAGTTTGGTAAATTTTCGGGGAAGGCGCCTTTCCCTGAAAATCTGTTCTGGAGCTCTGACCTGGCCCAAGTTCATGCTGAGTTTTGGCTCATAAGCCAGTTCGTGCCCATCCCTATTGATCAGATCCCTCTCATGCTTGGTCATCCTCTTTTCCTGCTTTTTTGACTTCAACTTTTCCTAGAATTATTGTCATTTCCAGCGAGTCTTGTCTTTTTATGATGTGACCAAAGAACAATAGTCTCAGTTTGGTCATTTTAACTCCTAGAGAGAGTTTAGGCTTGATTTGATCTAAGAATATCACTTACTTCAACTGTTTAGTTAAAAATAGAATTTAAGATTAATTTGAGACTGTGGGACTTGGGTCTTTACAACAAAAGCATTATACTGATGCTTGCCCTTGGTAAATTCACACAGTGCAACGGGCAGATGCAAGCTGAAGGTGCAGTGGACATGCGTCAGTCATAAATGGCCAGCTACAGTTACAGATGCCCTTCAGGGGTATAAGAATATACATTAACCCTTCATATTTTTTAACCAGAGAAAATACAACTATACATCCTGAAGACTGAAGGGTACTTGTTTTCATAAGAGGGGGAGGTGATATTTCCTCAACTGGAGGCAGAATAAGGAATCTTGAAGGCTGATGACTGATTCACTTTCTAGGCAGCCCTTGTCTGGCAAGTAAGATGCATTGCTGAAAGTATTTTTTATGATGTGAACAAAAACTGAAGAGTGTGCCTTACTAATTTCATAGGAAGTTATCAGCTACCAACTGGTAAAAAAGCTGGCAAAGCCAGTCCTGATCTTGGTTCCAAAATCTGATATTTCTAAAGATAAAAATATTGTCACTATTTAATTTAAAATATGGTGAGGTACCTTTATTTTCCACACAGGGACTTGAGAACCTCTGGAAGCATCACAAGGAGACTAGTTTGTACCTGTGTGAAGGGGTGAAGAAACTAGGTCTCCAACTCTTTGTGAAGGAACCGGTATGAGTGGTCAGGTTACAGCCTTACATGTAGTGTCTGGGGAGGGTAAATGAGAAAATGAAGGTCTTCCTGACAGAAGGCTAAGGACAAGTGAGTTAAGGCTCTAGGTGTAATCAGTTAAGAGGAAGTAATGGGACAAGGAGAGACAGCCCCATAGCTAAGGAGTTTTGGGGGAGGGGGCCAGGGGGAGCCCACCAGCCAATCAAAGTTAATTAAATTAACTTTGATTTAGTTGCTGGGACTCCTAAGGCAGCCCTGGCTGCGACCGAGGGGGGAGGAGAGTGCCGCCACCAACAGCAGGGACAGCCCTGGCACCGTGGACGAGCCCTCAGGTCTTACGGGTGCGCCGGGGCGCTCTCTCTCCACTTATCTCGGTGACTGGCCACCAGCGAGCGCCCTGCCGGGCTTCTCCGCCTCCCTCCCTCTCGGGGTGGACATGGACAGACAAGGAGGTGGCTCCCACCTCTTCGCCCCCACCAGGCCCGCTGCTGCTGACTCCTCCGGGCAGCCACCGGTGCCTCCTGCTTTGCGCGGCGCTCCCGGATCGCCAAGGGGTTGTTCTTTTTTCCTTCCTCTGAGGGTTGGGGCGTGTGGGGCAGCTGGGGTGGGAGGGCAGGTCCGGCCCAGAGAAAGTGGAGGAGTTTCTTCCATCCACTTTTTGTTGCGCGACGGGTCGTTTGCTTTGCAGCCCAGTTGGGAAACCTTGGCTCAGCATTTTTTTTAAAGAAATTTTTTTTCTATAAAAATCGCGGCGGGGGGACCATGGGCGCTACAAGCCTGAGGAGAGATCAGTATGAGAGTCCAGCAGAAGCTCATAGCAGCACATGAAGTTGCCTTATTGGTCTATCAAGGGCAATGCTGTCTACTCTGATTAGCAGCAGTTCTCTAGGGTCTCAGGTGGAGGCCTTTTATATCGCCTACAATCTGATTAACCTGACAAGCCAGGTATTGCACCTATGACCTTCTGCATCTAAGGCAGATGCTATGGCAATGAGCTATGACCCTTTCTCATAGTTTACTCTGGCTAGAGCACGACAATAATTTGCAAGAGGGAGAGTTTTTTCTGCTATGTACACTTTCCCCAGTTTCAGCTCTAGTAAAGAGATTTTTTTAAATGTGCAAATCTATTTGACTCAACAGTGGGACACAGGTAGTGGGGTATTCACAATGGAAAGTGAAAACTCTTTGGACCCACTTGTAAATATTAAAAACTATTATCTGTCTCCAGCTGTACATTACATTATGTTGACCAACTAACTGGACATTTTGGTCAACAGACTTACAAATTAGCCAAAAGTTATTTCTCAAGTGAGGAATTTTACCCAAGGAAGGAAGAACATCTGAAGGTGTGGACACCTGTATGGTTGGGCATGGTGGCTAGAAAGAAACACCTTTCACATGGGTGGTGCAGTTAACCACAATTCCTAGAGACCACACAATTTTTTTACACAAATCTAGAGTATATCTATGTGGTTCTAATGCATTATTTTCATGTTTCAGGAGGCAAGGCTTCCCACAATCACCACTATTTCTGTACCTAAAGGGTATGATTGGAAGGAAGTCACTGAATACATCATGAAAAATCATGGGATTGAGGTTTCAGGAGGCCTGGGCCCCTCAGCAGGCAAGGTAGATAAATCATGGGGACAAAAATAACAAATGGTATGAGACCTGTTTTCATGCTTTTTGGTCTGTTGCATATTAAAGCCTAGCAGATCAGAGGTGGTCCACTCTCTTCCCCTAGGAAATTTAGGTCAGAAGATGTTGCAGAATAAGGACACACACCCTTTCCCTCAAGCACTGCTGTTCCAATCTAAGTGCCAATGATTGATATTATACATCAAAACATCATGAGATCTGATTGCATATCTCTGGAATGCCACCATCTGTTTGCACCCCAAGTTGCCAATAGTAAATGGGGCAAATATAACATGGTAGAACTTAGAGAAGCAGGAAATAAAGACTTGGCATGTCTAGTGCCCACAGGAAATAATGAGCACATTACTTCCTGTGGGGTGGTAGACCTGGCCCATCTACCATCTGTAAGAAATAGTATCTCTATAATTTCCTATGAGCTACAGCTCTAGCCTGGAGATCAAGTTTACCTGATCAGCTGTTAGTTGGCATCTCCAGTCCCTTTCAATTTTAAAGTGCCATTATTTTCCATGAGGGTAGATTTGTCCTCTAATTTTGGATGACATGTTTTCCCATACAAAACAACAGTCCTTTAAAATTTAAAGGGGACTGGAGCAGTGTTCCCTCTAAGCTGTAGAGTCCTGTGAGCAAAAATTCTACTTTGTGAGCTACTGGCATTAAAGTTGTGAGCAGGTGATTTGGCTACTGCATAAATTAGTGTGTTCTGGAGCCCTCCTTCCTGAGCCAAGACAAAAATCTGTGAGCCGGAGGCTAAAAAACTGTGAGCTAGCTCACACTAACTCAGCTTAGAGGGAACACTGGACTGGAGATGCAGCTGAACAGTTGTTTGGTGAGACCAGCTTCCTCTTGCTCCCGCTGCTGCCGAAAGGGGATAGGGGGGCAATCGCTAAAGCAGTCTTGACCTTGTGGGACTGGGGGGGGGGAGAAAGAATATCCAAACATCATAAAGATAGTCCCCAAAATTTGAGATAATGAAGAGCATATCGTCCCCAAAAGAGGATCCAAAGTTGAATTGAAAATTTTTGATGTGCACATCCCTAGAGGATTCTCAAGAGAACAATTTACAGAACACTTACAATTCCACTTTTGTATATTTCTCTTGTTGTCAGGTTTTTCGAATAGGACTGATGGGTTACAACTGCACTAAATTCAATGCTGACAGAGTTCTTCATGCCCTGGAAGATGCCTTTCAGCACTGTTTGAAGAACAAACTGTGAGACCGCCCCCTTTATCTCTACCCTCATTCTTCATCCAGTGCACGTAGTGCTACATCATCAATCATTTATTCCATTCCATCATAGTTCACAGCATTAGGCATTGATACCTTCTGTGCAGAAGAAAAAACTATAGTAAACAAGCAACAAAACTGATGATCTATGTCCTGCAAATTATCATTATGCTTTTTCACACAATCAGTCAAGAATACTTCTCAAAGTTGTTCCCACCTTTCATTAACTGTGGTGTGATCATAGCTTACAATTGATATGGCAAACATAGGTTTTCAATGCAAGTTATGCTATGCATATTACTGTAACAAAACTGTCTGTAAGAAGTTTCATTAAGGTTGGAGTTTCTCTACCTGTTGTTCTGTTGCTCCCTCTGTGTTTTTCTTCCCATCACTAGTATATCATTGTCCAAGCTGGCATGTGCACTCAATCTCACAAGTAGGTGTCCTCACAGAAAACTTTCAAATCTTTCCCACGAGGGTTTTTGCCCCTGGCCATGCTGGTGGTGCTGAGATTTGTTCTTACCTCTTTTGCCTTTGGGTAGCACCTAGGAGGTGTTCAATTCAGCAACTTACTATAAACTTCTGTACAATCAGACCCTGAACACATCTTCTACCCGCACCCTAGCAAGCATTCTGCCAATACCAGCTGCTGGATGGGGAAAGATAAACAGGGCTCACTTTCTGCACAAAAACTCCAGGCTTTCTGTGCAAAACCCTTGGTCACAAACATATTCAAATATGCAAGAATCATTTCCCACTGTAGCTTCTGCCACCTCCTGCTTTTTGGATAACCTCCTGTAAATGCAACAGGATCATTGGAGTGCAGTAAAGCACAGTCTCCAAACTAATTTTTACAAAGGCGTATGGAATGTGCAGCAGGTATTTGAACTCTGATGATGGTAGGGAAACAAGTGGCTTACACATCATTCACACATTTTAGAGAACTTGCAATGGAATGCTAACTGGGGCAAGAGCTGTACAGTCTCAAAATGTTGTGTTTTCAAGACCAGCCAACATCTATACACTCATCAAGAGAGACGGATAAAGAAACATTAAGGCCATAGTCACAGAGCTGAAGTAACAGAGCCATTATTTCCTGTGTCATGCATACACCATTGTTCTCTGATCAGAACATTGTCACGGTGACACCATAAGCAACTTTCACTCTATAACTTGTCAGTCTTCCGCCTATTCACTGAAAGCTGAAAGAAAATCAAATCCAGCTGACAGTGGTTTTAGACCAAGTTATGTTGTACATTGTGATGACTCATACCATTAGGGACTGAAACAAATGTTTGCAAGAAGGCTGAAGGAGGATGTGACCCTTACCCAGTAGAAGCACTACCAAAGAACACATTTTTTCAACAGTCCTGAACCTATTCAAGTGTAAAGGAAATTGCTCCAAAATATGTTTTTGTTCCACATCTATTCCTTTGCATTCCCATGGGAGATCAAATGCCTTTATTAATGCAAATCAAGTATTCTACACAACAGCAGACAATTCACCACCCTGCCCTCCTTATTCAATAAGGCAAAACATTTCTAATATTCTTCTTAGTAAATTGTTAATAAAATGAATCACTACCAAAGTTATTTTCATTTTTTGCAAACAAGAAACAATTCTGTATTACTGACCCAGAGAGATAAGCAAACTTGTATTTGCATTACAGAGTTCTGAATTAATTTGGACATCTGAAATCTAGTAAGGGCAAAATTCAGCTTTGGGTCTTCCCAGCTAAGACCCAAGTATTAGTGTGGAGTATTAAGCTATTCAAATTAAGCCAGATTTACTCACTTTTGATTTTGCAGGTTCTTTCTGAGTACAGAAAAGCACTGAAAGGAGTTTCCCCAAGAGTCACTTAAATGCAATGACTATTATATTTACCATCCTGAAACATAGCTATTTTATTCAGAGACTCTAGGTCAAATAACTACCCGTTTGTTTCCTTTTTGTGAAATAAACAGATTTTCATCTATAGACCTTCATCATCCATGAACAGCACATACAAGACCACTTTCCTGCTGCACCTCCATCTTCCAAGCCTTACCTCTTTGTTTTCTTGCCAAGTCAATTCTTAGCACTGGTTTTCATGACTAGCTTCATATTGGCAAGCAACTATCACATGCCTCTCTTGCATTCATTACACTTTATTCATTATACTGAAAAAAGAAACTCACATAGAATTCTAGTTCAGAAGAGTATAATATATTTCCCTTCAAATCCCTTCTCTCCCATGGCTGAGATCATATATTGTTATCATATAAGCAGATGGTCAAGTAGTGGTTACCTGTTCCATGGATCCAGAACCTCACTGTGTTACAAGGGTTCAAGTTCTTGATAGCAGGCCTAAAGAACATCATCAGCATTTGATTGATCATTCTCCAAAACCAAATTAATATATTTTTATTTAAACAGGGGATCCTGTTCCCTTTAACTTCTAGTTTTAGAAACTGCATTTCCCCCAAACAGCTAATTATGATTTATTTTTATTTTATTTTATTTATTTTTAGATTTATAACCCACCCTCCCCAAAGCGGGCTCAGGGCGGCTAACAGATGAGGCACATATGCCAAGATAATACAATTAAAAACAGAATAAAACAATCATTTATACAGAACAATAAAGTGCAGGTACTTTAGTTGTCACAAAAGTCCTTAATAGCAAGATGGGGTTCTGGTAAAGATAGTCCCAGAACAACAGAGTAACAAAGTAAGTCCCAGACAGCACTGCCATCCATTCTTCATCCCAGGGCCATCTCGCTCCCCGATGGTACCCACTTCAATTCGTGGTGGTGGTGAGGTGATGGTACAGTGGTGGTGGCAGCTCCTACTCAAAAGCCTGGCAGAAGAGCTCCGTCTTACAGGCCCTGCGGAACTGTGCAAGGTCCCGCAGGGCCCAGATCTCCTCCGGGAGCTCATTCCACCAGTTAGGAGCCGCCACTAAAAAAGCCCTGGCCCTGGTTGTAGCAAGTTTGGTATCTTTGGGGCCTGGAATTACCAGAAGATTTATTTATTACTTATTACTTCGATTTGATATACCACCCTAACCCCCATGGGGGTCTCTGGGCTGTTTACATATGGGGTGCTAGTCACAATTAAACCCTAACTAAGGCCACATTGATTCTATGGGTGGGGCTGCCTACCAGCACCCAGGTGGAGGCTGATGTCTTTTTGGCTCGGCTGTTCTTTTTGGCTCCATTCCCGGCAGCTAGATGTTCTTTTCCTGGCGCTTAGGCAGTCAGGCGGTCTGGTACACAGGTGACGTCCTCCTCCGGCCCGGCTGCGTCCTTCAGGCTCCGCCGCACCCTTGGATGACGTCGCTGTGCCTCCGCCTCTGCTGACGACAGCCGCCTGCTGTTTCTGCCGCTGGCCACCAGGGATCACTCCTTTTCAGCTCTGCTGCTACTGCTTGCTGCTGCCTCGACGCCATGCCGCCACCTCCGGTATTCTGCTGCAGCCGATGTCCTGCTGCAGCTGTCGCCGCCGCCTTCCACACACCTCCGTAGAGTAGGGTGCCCCCTACCCTTCTAAGGGTAGGTTCCCATTTATCTACTCACCGTCAGTTACTTCGGCTTTCGAACCGCTGGGTGGGTGGGGATGTTGAGTCCCCGACCGTAGTGCCCTTGGGGGAACATATGGGGAAAGGTGGTCCCTCAGGTATGCCAGACCCTGGCCATATAGGACTTTAAAGGTAAGAACCAGCACTTTGAAGCGAACCCGGAATGCTATTGGCATCCAGTGCAGCGCTTTCAGCACAGGCCTGATATGGTCCCGCCTAGAGAGGCCCATCAACAGCCTGGCCGCAGCATTCTGCACTAGCTGCAGCTTCCGGATTTGCGACAAAGGCAGCCCCATGTAGAGAGCGTTACAGTAGTCTAGCCTCGAGGAGACCGTCACATGGATCACTGTGGCCAGGTCATTGCCGTCAAGGAAGGGAACCAACTGCCAAGCCAGCCCAAGATGGTAAAAGGCCGACTTGGCAGTGGCTGCCACCTGGGCTTCCATCGTTAAAGAGGAGTCCAGGAGCACACCCAAGCTCCTAATCTCTGACGCTGGCACCAAAGGCGCCCCATCGAAAGTCAGGAGAGGGAACCCCAACCCCGAACCGACTCAGGCCCAGGACCTCCGTCTTTGCCGGGTTTAGTTTCAGCCGACTCAGCCTGAGCCAGCCAGCCACAGTTTGCAACGCCCGATTAAGGTCATCCGGGCCGGAGTTCGACTGGCTGCCCAACATCAGATAGAGCTGGGTGTCATCTGCATATTGGTGACACCCAAGCCCACAACTCCGGGCAATCTGAGCAAGGGGGCGCATGTAGATGTTAAACAACATCGGGGACAGCACTGCCCCCTGAGGCACCCCACAATCAAGAGGATGCCTCCGGGACCGCTGATCCCCTATTGCCACCCTTTGTCCCCAAACTTGGAGAAAAGAGGCAAACCATTGAAGGGCAAGCTCCTGAATCCCTATGTCGGCGAGGCGATGGGCCAGCAACTGGTGGTCGACCGTGTCAAATGCGGCCAACAGATCTAACAGCAACAGTGCCGCCACACCACCTCGATCCAGATTCCTTCGGAGGTTGTCAGTCAGGGCGACCAGCACCATCTCCGTCCCATGACCTGGGTAGAAGCTGGACTGGAAAGGATCTAGGTTTAGGACTGCTATATTGTTATGTTTGATAAGCTTTTAAATTCCAAAATTCATTTCTCTAAGCTGATGATTTTATTTTCTTTAAAAATGCAGTTTTAAAAATGGAAAACTGCTTGTATGATGGAGTGAATTGCTTCCAACAGACCAAGAACATTTTCTCATAAAACTGTTCAAGATCTGTACTTAAAGAAGGAAAAGAATTTCCCCTCAGGTAATTTATTGAACTGTTCATCTGGCACTTAAACAGCTTCCTATTCAGTCCTGTTTTTCTAACATATTACAGGCTGGATAAAGTGCAGAAAATGAAATCTTTTGGTCACATTCATCTCCCAAGAGTCTGCAATTAAAAACTATATTGAGGTAACAGTTTCTAGTTACTGAAATATTTATCAACCTTTAGTATCAACCAAACTGAAAATATACCCAAAAAACACCTTACTGGTATTTTTTGGGTATATTTTGGCATCCCAAATGTATCCAGGTTTTCTCAGGAAAACCAAAAATCCCTGAAAAAATCCTGGACATATTTGGGGATGACTGATGGATCTGAAAACAGAGGTGAGCTAGGAGCAGATTGCTCCCGCCTCTCAGTTGTTTGTCAGGCTTCCGCTGTAGTCCCTTGAACTTTAAAGGGACTGCAGAAGATAGCCCGAGGATCAGGATCGGCTGTGCCAGAGGGAGCAGACTGGCTCAGGTTGAGGCTGGCTTCTCATGCAGCCCGATTTAAACCAGGGTACAGGAGAAGCTGTCCCAGCCAGGATCTGTGTGCCTCAGGGTGTGATCTCCCCGGGGCACAGAGATCCTGGATCTGGCTCCTTCTGTAGGGCAGTTTAAACCACACGCAGGAGAAGCCATCCCAGCAAGGACCTGTGTGCCTTGGGGAGCGATCTCCCCGAGGCATGCAGATCCTGGGTCTCGCTTTCCCTGCAGCCTGGTTTAAATCATGATCTTCCTGAGGCATGCAAATCCTGGAGCTGGCTTCTTCTGCAGTGTGGTTTAAACCAGGCTGCAGGAGAAGCCAAACCAGCCCCAGGATTGGGTTGGCTTCCCCCGCCCCTAATCCAGTATTTTTCTTCTTGGGTGTATTGAACCTGAAAATTCAGTATTTCCAAAAAATCCTGGATCCGAATACTGTACTGGTATTGGGATCCAGGATTTTTCAGAAATACCCATTTTTTTTTCCAGGTCCAACAGACCTAAACTGAAAAATACCAATTTTTTAAAAAATGCACACCCATAGTCATTTGCCATTTTGCAAAGATGAGGAAAACAACTACAGTATGAGTAGGAAGCAGCAGGTACGTACTAAAGAAATCAGAAAGAAACAAGTATTGACACATTCCTTTCACAACTGATCATTAAATATTCCAGTCAGCTACATAAATTAAAAAAGGTGAACACTGGGTTCTTGAACAAATTTACACTATACTTGACTCAATCATGATATGTTATGTTGTGTTATAAGGGAAACCATATTGGATCAGGCCAATGGCCCATCCAATCCAACACTTATGTCACACAGTGGCCAAAACCCAAGTGCCATCAGAAGGTCCACCAGTGGGGCCAGAACTCCGGAAGCCCTCCCACTGTTGCCCCCCAAGTACCAAGAATACAGAGCATCAATGCCCGAAACACAGTGTTCCGTCTATAAAACTGTAGCATTATCAAACTCCAGTTATTTGTGACTTCTAAAGGGTCCAACAACCTGGACTTTGTTTGTTGACTGTAAATCAGGATTTCACTAGGATTTATAGCTGGTTTGCCAACCAGAGTCTGTAGTAACATCTAAAATCACAAATTACAGTTTATTGCACAGCAGCGTCCCTTGAAAATGTCTGCCCATGTTGACAGCAGTATAAAGACGACGTCCACCCTTCCCAAGAGGTGGAAGAGGTAAAAGAAGCAGGAAAACTGGAGTTTATACATAAACTGCAGTTATGTTACCAAAGTCTGACAATGGCTCTAGATTCTCAATAATCAGAAGAACTGGGAACATTAAATTTCAAATGAAAGTTGTGGATTCATAGTGTGAACAGACTTGCAGTTAAAATTACTGTCATATGGCTACCCACCTGAATCTACCATAACACTGGAAGTAACAGATTAATTTATCTGTCCTCTGAATGACTGAGAGACTAACAAAATGTAGCTAATTGTATAGACTGGATTTTCATAGGCTTAAATTAAGAATATTCAGATTATGAACCTTTTCATCACAAAAGCATAAAATATCAATGGGGCCAAGCCATTTCAAATATGTTCTCCAGAAAAAAGCTCATCTTTTTATTTACAGTGCTTTCTATTTGTACATATTTATAGCAACATCAAAAAGTATTCACAAAGCTTCACTGAGTGCAAAATGTCACTTCAATAATCAGCTATCATCCTAATATTTCACCAACCAGTTTCCCAAGCATTACCCAGATTGTCTTAGCATAGTTTCTATCCGCCTTTACATTGAGGGTCATGCTATTAAAAAATGACCTCCAAGTGTGAAGATGAAAATTTGCACATCTCAGCTGTATTCAACACAGTTTTAGGCATATCTATATTTTAAAGTAAATGGATATGCATATGGCTGATGTAGGCATCACAACAACATCAGAAGTGCATGTGTAATAATAATCCAGAGTGCAAAAGCAGCAGCCAGGCTGAGGGACTCTTCCCCTCTTCCCACCCCTTGCACTGGGGAGTGGATTTGGACAAATCTGACAAGTGATTTTTCTCAGTATTATTAAGGCTACAATCACTTTAAATGATTTAAATAAGGCTTTATTTCTGAGGTACTAGGTTAGCAGGTGGGCACACACTGTGCTGACCTACAGAAGTCCAACCCCAACAAGCGTGTAGCAATGACACTGAGAAATGACATCACTTTTTACTATCCCTGAATCAGTATTACTTGCCTTTCAGAGTAAAACAAAAAAAAACTTATATATAAAACTCTTCTTTTTTGTTTTGCAGCTCATTAATATTTCTCATCAAAGGCCCAATTCTAACTTTCATCTTAACATAATTGATGAGATGTGACTAAGTATGTGAGTGCTTAATTATATAAACAGTCTATGGATGACTGATGAGTGAAACGTGACACACTGCCTCTGACTGGGGTTCTTGTCCTTTCACACAAAGACCTGTAGGCACATGCCACAGAGAGCCCACTTGATGAACCAGAAGGTGTGAGACAGAGAGCAAGTGGTTTGTAGAATCAAAACCCACTGTCATCATTCATGTTTGGAATCCTACAAAAACAAAACAAAAAGCAAGGACTCATTTATAGCCTATTCTTTGACAGGGCTTCCTTAGTCTTCTTTTCTACCACCATGCAGTTCCAAAAAACTGCAGCCAGTGTTTTTCACTACAATCCATACATCACAGGTCCCAGACATCTAAGGATGCAGAGTTTTATACCAAGTGTAGTTTCTGAGGCAGCAGTGGCACTGGCACGGGGAACTATATTTTTTCTTGCTGGCATAAGATAAACCCACCAGGTATGATTATTCGCAAGTTCAACCTTCCAATGTACTTAAGTGAAAAAGGCTCCACCTTGGGCTCTCTGAATTCTGTTGTCCCAAGTCCAGGGAGCTGGAGCTTGCAACACATGGCAGTAAGAGGCTAACTTTAGTCGTATTACATGTGCTACCAGTTATCTAGATCTCACCTCATTTTGTTTCGAAAGAGGAAATATAGGTACATTAAAGTGAGGTTAACAAATGCATATATTTTACTTAAAAACATTCATCTGTTCAAAATAAACTTCATGGGACAAAACTTTTTAAATAACGTTTCAATTCAAATTGTATATAATTCTTTAAAGATTTCATACAGCGAAGAATGGTTAACGCTTGAAAATCTGTAGAAAAAACACAAAGAGAGGAAAACAAAGCTCTGAGGTATCACACCCACCCAGACACAGCCGTACCAAGGCTGCAATATAAGCAGAAAACTGTAGACCCAAAGGGGAAAAAAAGATTATTTGATTGTTCTATTAGAGTCCAGGTAGCTCAGGGGGAAAAAAATCCCAGAATAGTCCTCTGAGTAAAGGAACTACCTCAATAAAGTCCTCAAGTGCATTGGAGACCTGATCACTTAAACTGCTCCTGCCAAGCAGCTCCCTGCACCTGAGAGAAATGCAGCCCAAGGTGCCTTGTGCAAAAGATAAGGAATTAGGTGCGGCTATTTCCCATTATTCCTTATAATATAGCTTCGAGAGTAGTACAAAAGTTCAGCTTGTCTTTGATCATGCAAGATACTGCTGGAGTGCTGTCTTCGCCCTGTAACGAGAAATATTTTGTCAGATTATATTTCTGAGAAAACACAAGGATAGCTAAAATGCTTTCTTTAATAAGATCAATAAGCAAAACAGCAGAGTGAAATAATGTCAACTGGACACACCTGAGGTATCTCACAAAATTAGAAGACAGCTATTCAAATTAGAAATGGCTTCTTCCAATAAAGCAGGAAATTAGGCATTAAATGGTGATTTGTAGTTAGTTGGGAAGACCCAAAGCAATACTACAAGAAACCTGCTAGTATGGCTATACCCTTGGTCTAAGCAAAAGGGGAGAACCCCACTGCCATGGAGTGCTAATCCCTGTGTACTATGAAATGAAACTTTTTTCAAATATATCCCAAGATATCAGCCAAGCAAGCTAGCCATACAAATTTTAGATATCCTGATTCTTTCAGACACTCTTGAAATAACAGGAGAAATTTAGAGGTTTAGGCAAAATTAAACAGCATCTAACTTTTCCTATGTACACTACTGCAATGAACATACATATTTTAATACATATCAAGCTCTTTTAAATCTGGTTATGGAGTCTTTTTATACTTACTTGTCACAAAGATTTGGATCTGATGACTGACTCAATTTGTGTAGAATATCTACTATTCCAATATCTCTGAGTTTATCCTGACGTTCTTGGGAACCTAATACAATAACGTGGCACATTGTTAATAATATGATTTTATGAGATAGATTAAAGAGTTGCAAGTTGTGTGGTATGAAGTTGTACACAGAATGGATCAGAATGCCAGTTAAGCTTCAGATGGTGTGAACACTCAAAGGCTATCTTCTCCTATGTATATACTACCAGCTCTAAATTAAGAACAGAAGGTGAGATTCCTTTGGTTGCTAGTAGTTTTTCAGGCACAGCTAATTAGTACCAGAATAACAGTTTTCTTAGTGGTGGCTCCTGTATTTTAGAAGTCCTGCCAAAACGTTTTTTAAAATGTAACCACCAGAGAAGGAACATGTCCACTTGCATAGACCTTGCAACTCTAACAAAAAAAAAATGCTTACCAACAATCAGCATTACAAATGGACACTGAAAAAGAAGAGGCCAAGAGGAAAGGGAGAAAGCAATGGCAGAAGGAGGACTTGGCAATGATGGGAGAATGAGGGGGAGGAGCAAGGCAATGGTGACAGAGGTAGAATGGGAAAAGGAGGAGGTAGGCAGGGGTAGTAACAGTAGGAAGTGGCAAAGACAGTGGTAGGGGATGGCAGCAGTAGTGGTGTGTGGAGAGGAAGCAGGAATCAGAGTAGGTAGCTTGGAGCAGAAAGCATAAAAGATTAACTATCCATTCTAAGCCTCCATTCCCCAGCCACCAACGGCTAGATGACCGGGGGGGGGAGAGGGAGTCTGAGCTTGGAGCACAAAGTATATCCACTGTAAGCCTGCCACCCCCCATGATCAGTTGGCCAGAAGGCTTGGAGCTGAAAGCGTTTGCTATGCTTTCACTTTCAATCCCACCATCTGATAGCGGGGGGTGGGGGTGCCCTTGGAACTGAAACAGTAATGTGCTTTCAGTTCTAAGCTCCCCCAACCCAACCCAAGCCACTAGTCAGCTAAGTAGGGAAAGCTTGAAACTGAACACACACACAAACCGTACGCACAAATTAGTTGGTGGGGTGGCTACATTAGCGGCTACATTAGCTATATTAGTGTTTTTTCCCAGAAAATGGTAGCATTCCACTCCCCTGGTTTTGCATTACCAAGTTCCATACAAACTCAACAGATGATAATAGCAAATTTATGATTAAAGTACATCTTTCTACAAACAGTGATTCCCAGTAATCAATAACCATTTTAGTTCTTCTACAATGTAGTAGTCCAGCCCTAACAGCACACTCATATATCTTCTTACCCATTCTGTTACTGTAAATACTTCTTTTTCCCCATTGCCAATATCTAACATATATGATTCTTGCTGCTATCTACTAGTATCTAATACTTTATGCAAGTCATTAGGAGTCATTAGGAATAACCAATGGGCCAATTCACATACCGTATTTTCCGGTGTATAAGACGACTTTTTAAACCCAGGGAAATCGTCTCAGAATTGGGGGGTGGTCTTATACTCCGGTAATTACGGTACTTTAAAAAAAAAAGGTATGGCCCAGAGAAGCCCGCCGCTGCTGCTGAAACTTCAAGCAACCCGCGTAGTCTTCCCGTGGCCAAGAGATTCCCGTTTGCCTTCGATCAATATTAAAAACCCCACCGGAAGCTAGAGAAAAAAGGCGGAAGTTTATGGAGACGAAAGGACCGAAGAGGGTTGTTTCCCGGGGATTAATAACACCCGGGGAGAGCTTTGATTTCTGCCTCAGAACGAGGCCGTTTCAGTTGCAGGGAGAAATGAAATCACTGGGCCATTGTTGAGCCTGGAGAAGGGAAACTAGGCTGCAGGTGGTATTGGAAGTTTTTGCCTAGCTGGATAAACTCGGTTCAGAGACTTTCAGTACAGTAGCCTGAAGTGGGATTTCATGCCACTGAGGAGACAAAGCATTCCTCCTTTACAACAGCTGCAGTCAGACGACCTTAAACAAACCAGCACCCCACCTCTGCTTTTTCGCCCTTATCTCGCGTGCACCTGATTTTTGAAGGCGGCGTTTTCAGAAACAGATGGGGGAGGGAGTTACCGAGAGTGCCAACATAACAGAAATGGGTTTAATACTTCAGATTTCGTGCTGCTCCTTTGGTTTTTAGCACAGGACTGATCAGTGGAGTGCCAATTGTAGCCTCGGCTGCTGGGTTTCCAAAACAAACGGGGGAAAGAGGACTGCCAGACAGGAGAACAGAGTGGAGTTCTTTGCACTTTCCTGTCGTTTACTATTGAAAGTCTGAGCAGGAAGCCGGGTTGGTAGGGAAGTTTTGTAAGTAAAATATATGTGGAGACAGAAATAGATTTGCCAGGGAATCTCGAGGAAAGAAGGAAAATATACTGTTTTTGAAAGGTGGAAGTAAGTAAGTTCTGAACTGGTTCATTCAGACTAACCTCCCCACGGGCTTAATGGGAAGATAAAGGGATGTTATGCAGGCCACCACCAGCTGTGATCAGAGGTGGGAAATTCAGTACCGGCATTGGCAGTTTGTGTATGGGGGACGTGGAATGATTATAAAATAAAAAGCACGCCCGCGTGTGCAGCAGCACCCCCCAGGGAACATCCCCCCCCCCCGCCTGCTTCGGCTGTTCCACAGGCAAGGAACCCACCCCCTGTCCTCTATCTCATCTGTGGCAGTGATGTTCTGCATTCTTGGTGCTTGGGCGGGGCAAGAGTGGGAGGGCTTCTGGAGTTCTTTCCCCACTCTTGGATCTCCTGATGGCACCTGGTATCTTTCGCCACTGTATGACACAGAGTGTTGGACTGGAGGGGCCATTGGCCTGATCCAGCATTGGCTTCTCTTATGTCTGGGGCAAGGGATGCTCTGTATTCTTGGTGCTTGGGGGTGGTGGTGCGTGAAAGGGCTTCTAGTGTCCTGGCCACATTTTAATCACTCACTGTAAAGTGGTATTTCCTTTTGTCCATCCTGAACATACTGCCCATCAGCTTCATTGAATGCTCATGAGTTCTAGTACATTGGGAGAAAAATTTCACTTTGTCAGCTCTCTCCACCCCATCATAATTTTATCAACCTCCATCATATCCCTCCTTAAGTCATCTCTTTTCTACACTGAAAAGTCCCAGACTCTTCAGCCTTTCTACATAGAGAGGGTGCTCCAACCCCCTAACTCTATATTTTAACTGGAAAAGTGGGGGGGTCGTCTTATACGCCCAGTCGTCTTATACACCGGAAAATACGGTATATTTCAATAATGCAATAAATTACATTTCTAATGATTGAACACTACATCTTTGCAACTGAACATTTTACCATCAATAGTAAGATGTTCTTATCTCATTCTTACACTACCAGAGGATCACACCATTGAACCTTTAAGTGCTAACTAGAGGTTGCTGAGCAGAATGTCATAGGCATTTGGTTGAGGACAGCAATGGGACAGTATAAAATTTAGCACACTCACACACACACACCACCCTCTGCAACCCCTTCCCCCCTAGGTGGCTTGTGGAATTTATAATCTTTCTTCTGCCATCTTGAGATACTGTTTTATTTGTTGATATATTATAGGAATTAAAAGTTGGTTTTAATGGCATTATTTATTGTATTTGTTCTGCTGTAAACTGACCTGAGCCCTGCTTGCAGGGAAGGGTGCCCTAATAAATCTAATTTAATAAATAAACAGACAGACAGACAAATGACAGTCTGTAGGGATGTACACAAACCGAACCACAAAGCAAAATTTGTCATGAATTTTGCCCTGTTCGTAGTTCATGATTCAAAGCTTGTGAAGGGTCTACTGTCACGAACTTCCACAAACTTTTGAAGCAGTTTGTGGATAAAGCAGAAGACAGGGATATAAAGGGACTCCCCTTTAAACTCCTGCTTTCTGTTCCCTGTGAAAGCTGCAAGAACAGCTGAGAGGTGGGGAACACCTCCCCACCGCTCAAGTGTTTTATTGGGTTTCTAAAGGTACTGCACAAGAAAGGGAAACAACTGGACGGCTGGGAGCACCTCCCAACCGCTCAGCTGTTTTCCAGGGTTTCTTGTGCAGTCAGTCCCTTTAAAAGTTAGGGTTAAAAGGACTGCACAAGACAGCCCAAAACAGGTGAGCAGAGGGAAGAAGCCTGCTCCTCGTGGCTCAGATGTTTTTCGGGCTTTCTACAAACCCCATTTAAAGGAACTGCTGTTCAAGTATGAGTAGCTGGGGAAAGTTTTTTTTTATTTGTTAGGTCTTCAGGAAAAACAGGAATCCCAAATCCAAAAAAACTAATGCCATTTACAGTGGAAAGACAATTAATGCTAACTCAATGGGGCTTCTAGGTGGAAAGGGTTTACAGATGTTACACTATCACTAGTCATAGCTATCACTAGCACTTTTGTTAATAATATTGTTACTGTACTGTAGTGATTTTAAATGGTTTTAAATATGTTTTGTATTGGCTTATGCCTCCTTGTAAGCCGCCCTGAGCTCGCGTAGCGGGGAGGGCGGGGTATAAATTGAACTTATAAATATAAATAAATAAATAGTAGCAGACTACTGCTACAGAAGGAGGAAACTCTGACAGCCCATATGTAACTATTGTTTCAAAGCCTCGGGTTTGCTTTCCTAAAAAGATATGGGAAGTCACTATGGTTGGACAAAATGTCTTCCAATCCTGTTTGCATGAGGTTCTGAATGAACCAAGAAATGTGGACTGTGCTCCACCTGTAATGTTTAGTGGTGGATATCAATGGGACACTCATCCAATGCTTTTCTACTTTTTTACCAACATTATGCCTTCATGTACATCTTAGTGGACAAAGAGAATTATATGGCCCTTTCCCCCCTCTCTTTTCTTTTAACCTTTTATTCCCCACACCTAATATGAAAATGTGTTCTATACAGTGCCTTTTATTTCACCATTCACAGGTTTAATCAGAGGTTACTTTATTAAATTAGGGCAGTCATACCCCCTTTGTACTTCCCATAACAGCACACCCAAGAATCACATCACCTTACCTTCTTCTTCATTCCATATAAGATTAGATACACAAAACATGGCAGCAAGCTGAAGTTTAGCATTCGAGTGACTCTAAATTTGAACAGAAAGTCATTTAGATATACACATTCTTAAACAATTATAATTATCTGGCTGTTTCTCTCAAATTATCATCCTTGAAGCATACCAGAAAGTGCTCACTGCACAACATCACAAGAGGCACCTGAATAATTAAGGAATGAGTTAAAGTAAAGGTAAAGGTTCTCTTGTTTGAAAGCCAGTCAAATCCGACTCTAGGGTTGCGGTGCTCAACTCCGTTTCAAAGCCGAAGAGCCAGCACTGTCCGAAGACATTTCCGTGGTCATGTGGCCGGCATGACTAAGCACCAAGGCACACGGAATGCTGTTACCTCCCCACATTACATTATAAAACCAGAACTTCAGTACATATTATGCTACACTGGCCCCGGTCACACGGAGCATTAGGCACGCTAGAGAGACGGAAGATAGGTGGATTTTCCGGGCGCGATCTCACCGCCACATCTGGGAAGCGTAGAGCTCCGGTGGCTCACCCGAGGCTTCACTCCGAAGATGTGCTGTAAAAAACTAGTACCTCCGAGGTACTAGTGTCCGGAAACCGCGGGGCAAGGGCGGGCGTCAGATCACGTTTCCGGTGTTAGCTCGTGGCATCCGGCGCCCGCCCATGTCCCATCGCGAAAAGTTTTTTTTTTTGTCAAGTCTCCATGGGTGCGCACAAGCACCCAACGGCGCATGCGAACACTTGGGTCAGATGTCACATGAAACCATGTTTTAGTTAAATTAACAATGGTTGGGTGATTATGTAAATGAAGGCTACTCCACTAACTATTGTTAGACTACATCAAGCCAGGATTTATTATTGTTGCCAGTTGATTAACCACAGTTAGCCTTAACTACAGTTTGGCACCACACATGAATGTGGACTTCCTGGCTTGTGGACATTTGGCATTTCTCTCAGCACAACGCTAACAAGGGTATCAGCTGAATCTCTGTGGGGAGTTGGAGAATACCAGGAAACCAGGTAATCTGAAACTGTAACCAGCATTTGTCAAGGTAAATCAGAATGATCATCTGTGAACTGAATCCTGGTTCATACACCAACAATAAAAATAAACCATGGTTTCCCATTATGGCTGACCTGAGAGTGAGGATATCTACTCTCATAACAAGAGGGTGATAAGCAGGATCAATATATGTAACCCACTTTGCACATCAGCTGTGACTTCCATCTGCCATTTGAACACCAGCATAGCAGAGATTGAAGGCTTCCAAGCCAGGAAGCTTCCAAATGCTTTCCAGACATAAGGAAGCACAGCACACAAGCTGTCTTGTGCTCATCATAAGAGGTCTGCTGTAAATTTTGTTGAAATGTGAGAACATTTCTGAGAAAATCATTGCCATGCGACCTGTAATCAAAATATCAACTGTTCAGGGAAAACAAAGTTTGACCACAAAGTCTTAATATGATAGTTACTGGGGGGTTTCTACTTGTTTCTTTAGTGTTTAAAACACAAACAATGCTTGGAGACACTCTCTAGCAATCTTCTCACTGTGGTGGTGAAAAAATCACTAAGGAGGGAAGGCATGCTTTTCCTCCACTCAATGTGATGTAAGTATGGGTAAAACCATTAGAAGTGGAAAAGGAGAGTGCACCTTATGCTCTGGAAAATCTGCACACCTGGCCTATGCATGTTCACAGTTTCTATCATGGAACTGCATAAAAGCAATGAAGAATAATATCCTGGAATAATATAGCTATCTACTTAATGAATTTTTATTGAAATCTGCCATGCACCAAATCAGTTCACTGGTGCATCTATCCCACTGACTGGACCCTTCTATTTAAAAAAGCACTCAGGGCAACTAACAGAGAAAAAGAAAGTGGATAAGTAAAAACAAACTAAAATAATAAAAAGAGAACAACAAAATTAATAAAACAGTAGCTGTCAAAATCCTTCCCACAGCCCTATCAATTCTGTCTTTAAAACCTTGGAGCCACAGAAAACAGGCATTATAAAAAACCAGCGCTGATAAAAATAGTATAGTGTCAAGAAAGCTTAATTTAGCTCTTAAGTAATCTCTGAAAGGTTAGCAAAGAAAGGGTCAATTTAGTTTTGAAAAGGAGGGAGTTCCAGAGCTTGAGGGCAACCACGGAAAGGCCTCTCCAATGTACCCACCGCCTATATCCTGAAAGGTTGGCTCACAGAAAAGGCTAACTCTGGAAGATCTCAAGCTATGGGAGGGTTCTTCCTGGCACCTGGTACCTGAAATCCTTTTACAATTGAAAAGCCGAAGACTGAGCCAGAGATTCACATACAAAGGACATTATTTACCACTGAACTACAGCACCTTCCTAAAGTGTTATGTATAAAAAAGCAACATAAATATCAATAAAATAAAATTACTTACCATGTAATACTTAATTTTTTGCAAGATGTCATCATTTGTCATAATTAATTCTTTTGCTGTTGTTCCATCTGCTATGTTGGCAAGTATACATAATGTCTGAAAAAGAGAATACAGAAGAACAATCTTAAAGCGACCTTTCCAACCTTGTTTAAGCTACAGAGTATTCCTGTCAAGGGGCAAGAGAAAGTGGGGTGAGGGAAATGGGATTCCCTCCCTACAAGTCTCTTACCCTGTTTATATATATTTCTTTACATAGGCTACTAAACTGAGGTTTTCTAGCCACAGAATTTTGATTACTTTGGCACAGAATTCATTATTTTTGTTTAGCATAGAAGTATATACAATCCTACTTGCACTGATACATATGTATGACTTAACACAAAAGTACACAATACCTGTTCTTTGACCTCTACATTGTGCTCTCCTTCCAAAATGAGGGTCACTGCTTGCATGATTTGTTTGCCATGAGTACTTATGATCTGATCTATATGCTGTCAAAAGTTATAAAAACGAAATTAGTAAACCATTTATTTTCAAAAGGTTAAAAGACTAAAAGACAAAATTCATGGAACAGTTTCTTTAGCTCATTGTACATGGTCTCACTAAAGTTAATCCCTAATGGCTAAATAAATAGTTTAAATTTACATCTAGTTCTTGGTCAACAAAAACCTAAGGCACACAAATATGAGCCATTATCTACTGATGTAAGTGGATCATCATGGGGCCTTAACATATGCACAAGTTGTACTAATGACAGAGATGAGTTTCTAGGAATGTCTCTAACTGAGAGGCTACCATGACAATGAACATAGATCTGGGTAGTCAGCTGTGTTGGTCTGAAGCAGTAGCGCAAATGTAGAGTCCAGTGGCACCTTTAAGACCAACAAAGGTTTATTCAAGATATGAGCAATCGTGTGCAAAGCACACTTTTTCAAATACAGTGGAATGGGATGTAAGGTTCAAACTTATTGACAGGCTGAACAACAATTTCACATGTAACATGATGAAGATATTTTAAGCTATGCAAAAACAAAATTAAATAACAAGCTAAGGTTATAAGGTCAACAGTTGTATGAATTAAGAGAAACAGCTAAATCATGTATGGTATAACATGTAACACTGCATATATGAAGACAATCAATAAATTCATACATTTGTTAGCAAGTAGAAGAATCCAGGAAGCTCAAACACTCAAAATAAAAAACAACAGCTATCTATAATCTATTGCCACTATATATTCATGTGGAATGAAAGACACTCTTTAACCTCCAATCTGAGAGAATTTTTCAATTAATGTGTCTGAAATCATCAGCTGGCAAGAAGAACACTTAGAGTCCCGATTAAAATTAGGAAAAGCCCCTGGCTCTGATCTAATTCCCAATGAGTTATTCAAGTCTGATCCACAATGGTGGGCCACAGTCTTGGCCCAATTTTCACTCTAATTAATTCTAGTGGACAAATGCCTGATTCATGGAGACATTTGATAATTGTACCAATATAAAAAGGGGTCTAGACTGGACCTATCCTGCTATCTTCCAGTTAGCCTCCTTTCTTCTTTGGGAAAGTTACATTCTGCTTATCTACTCAAGAAATTTTTGGATTGGAAGGAATCAGAAGCCATACTGGGGCATGAACAGATAGTCTTTAGGTGCAGTTCTTACAGCCATTGTCTAGTTCTCTACCATTTGGCTGAGAAATATTCATCTCTTAAGGGGGGGCAATTATATGCTGGCTTTATTGACCTTAAGGGGGCCTTTGATTCTATAAATCACCCTAGATCATGGAAGAAACTTAATCAAACTATATTCTGGCTCAAATGTTCAAGTACACTGTGGGCATGAAGGGCAGTTGCATTTATTTAACCTGGAAAAGGGGGTAATGACAGGGATGTTTGGTGGCTCTTTCTTTATTCAACTTATATCTAAACAATTTAGCATCAATCTTTGATGAAACCACCATCCACCAAAACTAGTTGCTTTAGGCAGATTATGCTGTTATTTTGTTTTGAACCAGGGGTGGTGTGCAAAGGACCTTGCAATCTTTCTTCAATTACTGTTCCCAAGAAAGCTTGGAGATTACTGACTTGAAATCTAAGACCATAGTTTTCACCAAGATCAGGAAATGGAGTCCGCTTCAATGGTCAATTAATGGGTCCAATACTGAGCAGGTTAACCTTCTCCTATTTGGGGATCCTGTTCTCGGCAGATTTATCTTGGGACACCCCACCCAACTTACAGCAGTGTTCAACAAAGCAAAACCATGTGCAAATGCTATAAATAGGTTCTACCATAATAGGGGGGGGGTATATTCCTGGAGCTGTGTAAGCCTTCAAACTGAAAGTGGTGCCCCTTATTGTTTATGGCTCACTGATTTGGATCAGAGCTATCTATGATAACACTGATCAACCTCTGGGCCAGTTTTTAAGAAAAATACTGAATGTCCTCTGCTGTGTATCAAATGTTGTATTTTGGGCAGAATTTGGCAAATATTCCTGGAAGCAAAAGCACAGCACAAATTGATTTGGATGAAAGCCCTGGATAAGAAACTAACGTTAGTTGGAATGTCAGCTAATCATATTTCGGATATGGGGAAATCAACAGCATTTTCTTTGCTCAAAAGCATGTCCCTAGAAACTGATGACAGCAGTTTGATCTTAACAGCCCGCTATGTTTGCTCACCCGTCTTTTGGTCTTTCTTTTCCAAAATCTTTACTACCCCCCCATATATGCTATCTTACTATCCCATGATACTGCAGTGCTTTCTTATTTGCAAGACTGAATATTACACCCTCAGTGGTTCTACAGGAGAGATTTCTGAATAGGCCTTATTCTGATAAAATTTGCCCTTGTGGCCTTAATAGGATGTTTTGCTTGAATGCAGATTTTTGAGAATATAAAGGATCATTATATTAAGCCACTAATTGATCAGTCGTCCCCCTACACGCTGGAAGCTCTGACTCTTCTGATTAGTGATAAGGATTCTAAAATCATTCTGGCAATAGCAAAATTCTATTCAGTCCTGTTAGCCCTTACGTTCAAAAATGAGGAATGAGAATTTTCTTTGGGACCGCCTCTCCCCATATGAGCCTTGTAGAGCACTGAGATCTACAAATCAACACCTTTTGGTAGTCCCCAGCCCCAGGGACGTCCGACTTGCCTCAACAAGGGCCAGAGCCTTCTTGGCCCTGACCCTATCTGGTGGAATGAGCTCCAGTATGAGATCTGGGTCCTGCAGGATTTACTACAATTCTGCAGGGCCTGTGAAATGGGGCTCTTCTGCTGGGCTTTTAGTTGAGGCAGTGGGTGCCCCCCCCCTTTTGGTTGGCCTCGATTCAAACAGCCACCTGGGAACCCACACACCTGTTCTGTTTTAACTGCTGAGACATTGATCAGATTTTGCATGGTATTTTATGATTTTTGTATTGTTTTAAAATGGTTTTAAATGTACTGTAAATCCCGTAAGGGTGGGATAAAAGTTTAACAAATAAATAAATAAAATAAATAATATTGATGGAACCTGCCCTGAGCGTGCTTGTGGGGAGGGTTGGATACAAGTCCAATAAAATAAATAAAAAATAAATAAAAAAAAATTCTGCCGCTCAAGATTTGTTAATCAATGAGTGTCTAAGGGAATAAAAGAAAAGGGATTAAATTAGGATTAGAGACTTGATCACTGAACTGCATAGTAGGGATTAAGTGGGCCTGGGCTGATTGCAGGAGTAGAGACCAACCACGGCTCTGTGATTTATTAGCAAATGTACCTAGTAGCAATATGGAAGCATTAACCGCAGTGTAAAAGGCAGTAAGGTCGCACTACTAACTCAGTGTCCTGTTTTGGTCATCCATATTCACAGAAGACTGTTCAAGGAACTTCCTTAATGACCTCAGGAATGGAAAATCTCAGGAGGAGATGATGGTTAAAAGTTGCATCGAAGAGCATTTGAGAAAGAGACATAATTGTATTCTACAAATACCTCAGGGAGATGAACAACAGCTTTGTAGGCTAAAGGAGAACATGAGCAAAAGAAAAACAGGCATCTTTCACCTAAATTTCATTTAGGATTTTATTAAAAAAAATTCTATCCATCTACTAAAGTTTCAAAACAAAGTTGGCCAAGTTTATCGTAAGAACACTCTATATTGTGCTTTAATGTGATATGATGCCTTGGAAGGATTCCTTTGCCTTTAAGATTTGAACATTTCTTCTTTATCAAACACTATGAAACATACAATAGCACAGATCAATGCTTAAAAACAAGAATTCTGCTTGGATTAATCACAAGTAGGTTTTGGCTTTATGTTCAACACCTACTTAGCAAATATTTGATATCAGAAGAAATTGTTTTCAAGGTCAGACTAGGTGATGACCCTAGGATATTCTTATGTACTTCTTTTAAAAGGAGCATAGCACAGCTCTCTGGTTTATGCAATCTAAATTGGTTTTGATTATTCAGAATTTATTTTATTCTGTGGGTCCCACACACAGCACACTTTGGTCCCCTCCTTTGTCTCTGAACTGGTAATCCTTTGAATATTGTATATCCCCATTTGATATATGGAGGCCATCAGAAAAGAGGTTAGGTATTTAATTACCTAAGGATTTCGTTCAATACCAAAATCTCATGGATTTTTAACACTCACCTCTCACACACAACCAAGAAACATGCATAATTTGATGGTGTCTATTAAGAACAATAACTTATTTCTTCTTCAACTTTTCAACTAAGCTTCCCAGTTCTAATCATTCATTTTCAACCAGAAATGCAAGATAAAGACACACTGCAGAAATGATGAACCTGTGCCTGGAGGCAGTTCTGGAGTGGAGAAACTGAATGTAATCCCAACTAAATGGAAGTACTACTGTGCCTTTACCAGCTTTGACTGGTTAAGTAGCAGCAGCCATTTCTGAGTGGAAAAGACCTAGCCATTGTGGTGCATTCCCTGATTACATCTAGATTAGATTGCTGCAATGCATTTTACATAGGGCTGCCCTTAAGAACTGTTCAAGAACTTCAGTAGGTGAAGTTCCAGTCAACCAGGGTTGACTGGAATAGGTCATAGCAACCATATCACTCCAGTATTGGCACATCTGCACTGGCTCCAAATTTGTTTCCAGGAGCAATTCAAGGCACTGGTGCTGACCTTTGAAGCCTTATATAGTTTGAGACCAACATACCTGAAGGACTGACTATTTATGATGAATCTACCCAGACTACTAGTTATCTTTGGAGGACCTGCTTCAGGTGCCTCCACCTTTGGAGATTAGGGAGGTGACAACCTTCTTGATAGCGGCACCAAAACTCTGGAACTGTCCTCCCAGGGAGATGTGTCTTTCCCCTTCTGTTTCCATATTCCTCCAGTGGGTGAAGACTCTTTTGTTTTGGAATTCCCTCCAGTGAACTTTCTTTCCTGCCCACAGCTTTAATTGCTGTTATATATATTTTTTCTCATCTCTGGTTTTATTGTTTATTGATGGCTAGTTTTAATGGTTTTAAAATTTGATTTTATTATGTATGTTTTAATTTGTTAAGCTGTCTTGGTGGCCCTTGTGAGGGCAGAAAGGCAGGGAAGAAATTTTGTAAAATAAATAAATAAATAATTTTTGGTTACTTATCAATGTCCTTATGTTACAACCAATCAATAATATCCTCTACATAGCAAGAAAGGTGATTGTTTTAGGCTATCAGTTGGAAAACCTGCAAATTCACAGGCATGTACAATACAGTATGCCCCTGTCTTTTTGTGCAGGTCTTCTGTGCCAATGCTTAGGCAAGCTCTAGCTCAAGCAGTGGCTGATGGTTACAGATATGGGGCAATTTCATTATCAGAACCACAGTACATAATTACACAACGTGCACCAGATTGTAGGATCAGGATGTTTCATATTTTGAAAGTTTTTCAGAAGAGTGATTCATGGTTTTACTTACTGGACGAGTAGACAACAGGTTTCTAAGTAGTCCCAATGTCTTCATTAGTACATTTACATCAGAATCTGACAATAATTGGAATAGTTGCTCTGTACTCAAGCCTCGTAAAATATCTGCTTTGATCTTTTGTTCCGCTTGAAATGCCATATTCTAAAGGACAGAGAAAACTAATCTTGTATTTGCTGTCATCCCAATATTTTTCACAAAAGGTCAAGTTTCATTACACAAGCTGTCACCATCTGTTGTATACAAACATGTAAACCAATTACAGTGTGCAATGAACATTTCTTAGCAGCAAGTTTCTATACACTCCTGGAAGCCTTCCTAGTGCTCTACAGATTGAAAATTTTAAAATTTCTTTACCTAACCTCATTTTAAAAATTACTTACAGTATAGGTAATTTACAGTGCAATACTAAGTAGTTACACCCTTCAGTGAGGTAAATAGGTGTAGGAGGGTGTAATTCTGCATAGTTTGGCCCTGTTGACAATTCAGTGTTTACTGAACATTACTACATTAAAATACAGGTAATACAATGAAATTTCTGTCAGGAACTTGCATGCATGCACAAAATAACATGAATTCTGCCCATTTTAATAAGTGGTTTGAAACTCTCCATAAGTACATTTTTATCATTTCATTTTCAATACTGCTGTAGTACTATTTTGCAGAGAGGGTGTAATATGTATGCAAAAGCTATCCATTTAACAAGCATTCTTACCATTAAAGCCCAAACTCCGTTCACTCGCAAGGCAAGATTGTCACTTTGGGTTAAACTACAGAGGAGTTCTATGGCTCCTGATTCCAAAATAGGCTATATTGGGGGGAAAACTCAATTAGTATGAAAAATCTCGACTGAAAATTGACAAATTTACACATGTACAAAAAGAGTAGCTAGTTAAGTGCTCAGACCACAAAATACATGATGCTTTAGAACTTGCTTAAGCTACCTGTAGCTGGAATTTAACACATATGTAAGAAATACTGACTATAATACTTTAAAGGCCAGGTCGGATAGCCCTGATGATCTTTAAGGTGCCAATATTTGTTCTTTGTGACAACAGAGTAATAGATTTATTATGGCAAAATCATTCATGGGCTTCCATCAGAAGCAAGCTGTGTATCCTACATTCTTACAGAGAAAGCAAGTCTGCAAACAATGCAGTAAAAGGCTACAAAATGCAAGTGATTGAGGCCATGACATTTCTATGAAAAGCTCAGGTGTACGTATGCGACACACAAAATAATCTCCCAACACAGATTTAGCTATGGAAGCTCTAATCCAGGTAGAAAATCTACCCGGAGGCATAACTAGCTTTTACAAGGAGCAGAGTCTTCTCAATAGCTATCCTAGAGTGCTGATACGCTCCCAGGGGAAGTTTTCATGGCTTCCTCTGTTGGTGTTGTGAAGGACAATGAAAATATTCCTCTTTCAAATGGCCTTTAGAAGTTACTAATTGTATTTGTTTTTACACAGTTCAGTAAGCTACTTTTAAATGCCAAGAATTAGTTTCTTTCATTTATTTACGTCATTTATACCCTGCCTTTCCCCACAGTGAGGATGCAAAGTGGCTTACACTATTGTCTCTCCTCATGACAACCCCCATGAGGAAGGTAGAACTGAGAGTTCATGACTAGCCCAAGATCACCCATCAAGCTTCCATAGCAGAATGAGGATCTGAACCTCAGCCTCCCCCAGATCCTAGTCCAAGACTATACCTAGTCCACTTGTGCTGGTACACTTTGCACTACCACCATTGTAGCCACTGACTTATATATGAATGAAGCCAAATGAAGAAAGACAGAAGATAGCTCACAAGTAACACTCAACTTGTGTCACAACAGCTGCTAAATGGTGATCTGAAGGTTTTTGACAAGGAATGGGCTTTCTAGTCAACAGAACATTGTGATCTATAGTGAGTTCACCACTATTTTGAAAGGAAAAATTGCTGATTGTTATGAAAATCAGAAGGCTGGAAATAATTAGAAGAATTTCAAATTCAAGGCAGAACTCTTAAGTAGTAGTCAACAAATATATTTTCTGATAAAAAAAACAAACCTCTTTGCTTGGAGAAAATTCTAAGAGAAGATTGCATAGAGTTGAAGATGCTACCACTAGAATTTCATCTGGAGCATTCTGTAAAACCTAAGAGGGGAAAGAAAAATGAATACAAACTATAAACATTATAACTAGGGGAGGGCAATTTTTTTTAACTTTTTTGGTGATTTGGATCTATTGGACCTGAAAAACATCATATTCCTGAATATTCCCAAATACCAGTATCGGTATTGTACTGGTATTCGGATAAATATTCGATAAACCTGAATTTATCTAGCTCTATTATACCCTATGGGGACCATCCCCATAGGGTATAAAGGAGAATTTCACTCACTGAGTCATGCTGCTGTGGCAGCGCAACTCCACAAGTGAACTAAAGCCATTTAAAGTTTACTGGCCAAGTCGGGCCGCCATGGTGCCGCAACCCAGCGAGGGAACTGAAGGCATTTAAACTATATTTATTTAAAATTAAAGTTTATTTATTTACACTTTATTTAAATTTAAAGTTTAAATGCGTTCAGTTCCCTCGCTGAGTCATGACACCGCCGCCTGACTCGGCCAGGGAACTGAACGCAGCTTTTATTCAGGGTGGCTATTTCAGTAGCTGAATACAGATCTGATATGATCTCTGATCTGCATTCGGCTCAATAAATACCCCCAAAATACCAATAAAGGCTCTCATGTTTAAAATACCTCTACAGGAAAGCATTTGTTATACGCTATGGTAGCGAAGAACTCCTTCACCATTGTTGCCACAATGGCATTTTAAAAAATCCCAATACTGCATCCGTGATTTTCAGCTCTATCTACAGAAATGATCCCTAAGTCTCCATAGCGTTTGCCAATGTATTTCTTCTTGAGTTCTGGGAATAAAATCCGAAGAATTCTGAAATGGGGATGGGGGAACTAGGGAACTTCATGTCACTTTACCAACTGACTGGTTAGCCAAGCTCATTCTGTCAGGCATGTCACTGCTATGAACCCTCAGCTTGGTCACAGGCAGTGTTCCCTGTAAGCTGAGTTAGTGTGAGCTAGCTCAGTTTTTTAGCCTCCAGCTCACACATTTTTTTTTTGTAGATCAGGAAGGATGGCTCCAGAGCAAACTAATTTATGCAGTAGCCAAATCGATCACTCACGACTTTAATGCCAGCAGTTCACAAAATAAAAATTTTGCTCACAAGACCCCACAGCTTAAGAGGGAGCATTGGTCACAGGCACAGCCTGATTTATTTATCTCTCTGGGCTTGCAAACCTCCCCTCCGTGACTGCTCAAGGAGCAAGCCCTCCCATTTCTTTGGAAATTGAAACCAAACAGCATCTCTTCCCCAAACTTAACCAGTGATCCTGGCTTTCCTATGACTCTTTGGTATGGGAAGGTACAAAGTGACAAATGGCTTATGAACTCCAAACATTGTTTCACCAGCCACACCCCCACGATAGGTTCTCGTGGTGTTGTTTACTACCTTCTGGAATTTTGAGAGAAGTACAGACTCCGCATGGTTAAGGATCCCTGATCAACAACAAATTTAAAAAATGATTGGCTGCTTGGTATTAAGAATCTGAGCTATAAGGCCTTGAGTGGTCAGAGACCCATGTACCTTCACGACCACCTCCTCCACTAGGTCCCCAGAAGAATGCTGAGATCAGCTGATAATAAATCGCTGGTGATCCCTAGCCCTAGGGAGGTCTGGCTGCCCTTGACTAGGTCCAGGGCCTTCTCAGTCCTGGCCCTGACCTGGTGGAACTCTCTGAAGAACAACATCAGGGCCCTGCGGGGACCTTGTACAATTCTGCAGGGCCTGCAAGGCAGAGATGTTCCTCCAGGCTTTCAGCTGAGGGCAACAATGGTTAAGACTGGCACCTTTTTCTCTCTCCTTATGGTCCCCACATCCCCTTCCCTGCCTGCTGTGTGGACAGCACTGCAGCCAGCAAAAGTGGATGCTATTGCCATCTGGATTTACTGATATTAGTGTTTTGTTATAATTTTATTTTATGCTGACTGTATTTTATCTGTTTTTCAAGTTGTTAATTGCCCAGAGCCTAGTCGCAGGGTTGGGCGATCCATAAATATAATAAATAAAATAAATAAATAAGAAGTCAGTGGAATTATGGTAATTTTACCATTTCCTGGCCCAACTCAGATTTTTAAAGTTTTCTAGAAGATTATGGAGTAGGTTCTTACATCTGTGAGACAAATGTCAGAACATTCAGGTGATCATATTACTAAAAAAATAAAACCACATGTGGTTGCTTCCCCAACACGGCCATTCTTTAGAAGTCACATAGAATGCAATTCAACCAAGGTTTATAAATCATAAAAGAGCATACACTTGGGCATCACATTTTGTGAACAGAAATTAACAGCTTAGCAGACAAGCCACTATAGGGATGAGTATTTTTCATAAGGCAATGATCTGAATGCTCTTTCAAATCCCCACAGAAGCAATACACACAGGACTGATTGCCTTCTGGAAAATTTTCAAATGTGAAGGAAAGCCAACAGGAAAGGAACTGAACCATACCTCTTAACTATGATATTAGAGATTACACCAAAATGATTACCTTTTTCAATAACTAATGTGAACATTAGTCAACCTGTGACTCATATAGTAATGTAAAAGTTTGAAATTTTGCATATTTATGTTAAAAAGAATATGCACTGTCATTTATAACCACAATGGTTCAACTCCAAGTGAAATTGCTGAAGTACTGGTTTACCTTCATTAAGGGTTTCCATACAGCATGGTCTTGGAAACTTGTTCGAAGCTGCTGCACAGATCGTGACAAACTGTGCAAACATCTGCAAAGAAAGAAATGAGATGCTCTAAACATTGATAAGTATTTTCTAAAAAGCCAATTTTAGTGCAGTTAAGTGACAATATTAAGCCACTGGTTTTGCCCAAAGTGATTTATAGCAACATCCCAAGCAGAATCAACTTGCTTAGAAGAGTATAATTGTGCTCAGGATGTCACTGTTAGAATGTTATGATCAGATTACTGCATTTCCTAGCGAATAAAGTGCAAAACAGTCTAGTTAAGCATATTGGATGTAATACTATTCACTAGGTCAATTCATACCTGACAGCAGCTAAGCGCACCTTGATGCTAGATTCAGACAAGCCATTCACAACCCGATCCATCATATTTTCAGTTTCAATTATCTGAGGTAAAAAGGTAATGGCATAAGAGTAAGTTCCTGAAAGAGCTGCATTTTTAGAATACTTAGAGGTGAGTTGAAGTTCACAACACAGGGAAGAAGGAAGAAACATTTAGCAAAGCCTCCTCCACTTTATTTTGTTCACAGTCCGCTCCTTTTCACAGCCCCATTTAAAATCACCAAAGAACCACTGCCCTCATCCTGTTTCACACTCAGCAGAGCAGGAAGTTTGGGGGGGTGGATTTTGGTTTAGTCCTAAGAACAAGAAGCACGGAGGGCCCGGTTGGGCGGGGGGGGGGGAGGAGTTCCACGTGGAGGAGGAGGAGGAAGCAGCCACAGGTGAGTCGTCTCCCCCACTCCCCAGCACCGATGATGAGGCCCAGGCCCGCCAAGCTTTCTCCACCGCCCCCCGGCACCAATGGCAAGGCCCGTGCGGCTCCCAGCCACAAGGCCTGCCAAGCCTTCTCCCCTGCACCCCCCAGCACTGACGGCGAGGCCCGTACGTCTCCCAGCTGCCGTGCCCACCAAGCGTTCTCCCCTGGCACCAACGGTGAGGCCTGGGCTCGCCAAGCCTTCTCCCCCACCCCCTGGCACCGACGGCGAGGCCCGCGCAGCTCCCAGCCATCAGACCTGCCAAGGCTTCTCCCCCACCCCCCGGCACAGGCAGCTCCCAGCCAAGCCTTCTCTCCCTCCCCCGCAACAGCGGGGAGGCACAGTTCCTAGAGCGTTCTCTGTGCATGCGCACAGTATCCCCCCCTACAGTTTTTTCTACATTTCAGATTTTCTGCACACCTCGGGAGTGCTCCAAGTGTGCAGGAAAATCTCTTTGCCCCCTAGGTGCCCCAGGTGTGCAGATTTAGATATATAGATATCTATTAGATATATAGATAATGAAATCCGTCAAACAGGCCGGAGCATCTACCATATTAACTTCATTGGCTAAAAGCTACAGTGGAGCAATATGAACTAAATGAAATGATGCTTTCGCAAGAGAAAACCTGTTTTTCTCCACCATCCACATCTGTGTGATAACTTCAGTGAAATTTAAATATGCAAAACATTCTTACATTATTAAAAAGACTCCACCCATCTGTTAGCGATACTACCTTTTATATCCTAAAAGGAGTCTCTGATACTGTGCTTCTCTATGGAAAAAGTGATAGCATCTGCTAACATGCATCCTTTTGTGATCTTGCATGCTCACACAAATTATAACACACCAGATCATTCTAAAGATTACTGCACATATTACTTGTTATCTTAACCATACTCACATTTTAAGTTCATTTTTCATGAGCACTTTTGACCCATAGAAACTGTCTTATTTGTTGCACACGAACCATGTGCATCTTCCTTCATGTTAAGACTTTTTATTTGAGTTATTACTTTTACCAAGTATTCAAAGTACAATGTTTTTACACCAGGGAAAATGCCACATTTTCTGCAGGTAGCTCATGTATTGCTATTGTGATTTGTATATGCAAAATATGGTTACATAAACATCACCTGCCTCTACAGATGCTACTGTATTGTAGCTTGACAAGCAAGACACAGTCCAACAGTCAGGCTACAGTTTTATACATTTTTTTCTTATGTGCACTTGATGCCAAATGTCTTCCTTTGTATGATTAGTTATACTAACTTTTTTTAAGTTATCCCTCCCATTCCTGCTAATCTAATGCAAATGGATAGGATTTGATTCTGAGAAGTAATTTGTAGGATATTGTGCAAAGACTAAAACATATTTATGATGCATATTTATGGCCCCACTGGTGGACCTCCTGATGGCACTGGTATTTCTGGCCACTGTGTGATACAGAGTGTTGGACTGGATGGGCCTTTGGCCTGATCCAACATTGGCATCTCTTATGTTCTTATCGTTAATATCACTTAGTAAAATTCTTTTTGATCTGGATAGCCCAAGCTAGCCTGATCTCATCAGATCTCAGAAACGAACCAGGGTCAGCCCTGGTTTGTACTTGGATGGGAGACCACCAAGACCAGGGTTGCTACGCAGAGGCAGTCAATGGCAAACCACCTCTAATAGTCTTTTGTCTTGAAAACCTTATGGGGTCGCCATAAATTGGCTGCAACTTGAGGGCACTTTATACACACACAATTAGTTACTGAGAACAATTATCCTTATTCTAAATTTAATAGGCAGTATTAAAGCAACTGAAACTTAAAACACCAAAGGTCTAGACTCTTATAAACTAGAAAAAACTAGCTTTGTCTTGCACAGCTTCCTGAATGTTTGGTCTCTCTGACCAAAAAAGGGAAGGACGTTCAGTAGATCATGAACTCAAACATGGGCAGGAATAGAAATAATCAAAATCCTGCACCTTAAAGTGCTAAAACCTTTAACAAGGATACAAAATGATGTTTGTGACAGAAAGGAAATTTTAGCATTCATTTTATTTACTTTGCAAGTCAGCAAGAACTCCTTTATCACTTCCAGGAATATACAGACATTTCACTTAAATACTCACCTTCTTTCGTATGTCTTCATCATTAGCTCCAAGTGCAGCATACAACTTGAATGCAGCCTGGCGCAATTCATGTGCATGCTTTAGGTCATGGTCAAGCTATGAGAAAACAATCCAATTCAGATAATCCTTAACTTGCAAACTCTTTAATTGATATAGCAGAGATATAGCAGAGTGAAAGCAAACAGAAGAACAGGGCACTCTTCTACTTGCAAACAATATGCTTTTTTTGGTACTTCTTTTAACTGGAATTTTCAACCACTAAGACGAAACCTAAACTCAGCTTGTTAAACTGTCTGCATTCAGATACTATGGCTAACCAGAGGTGGTTCAATATTTTAGTCTTCAGTTTCAATATCCTGTGTGAGATGGGGTGGACAGAGAGAAGAGAGAGGGGAGGAATTAACTTGACAACCAATCATGTTTGTGCCTGTCACAAATACATTCAGGTTTATTCATGACATCTGAATTGGTACTTCAGTGCTTTACCTAGCATGGCACTAAAATAAACAACTGTAACAAAAAAGATAGCCTTGTGATGAGAAAGCCACAGTGTTGGAGGCCTTATCAAATTTCTATTTCTTCAGTAGGAAATGGACCTGGAACCACACTTGTCTTCAGTAAAAATAATTCAACCTCCAAATACTTGTATGATACATTTTATACTTTGGTCATTGTTTTCTTGTGCTTTGGGGAAGCTCTGTATTTAATGAGAAAAACCTACCCTTTTTATATCAGTGATGGCACTCACTGAACTGGGGTACTTGAAGTAGTCTGCAAGCATTGCAATAAGGTGATCAGTAATACTGGCAATTCTTTGTAGTTCGACATCTGTTTCAATCAAATAGGCAAGAGTTTCTGCTCCATCTACTCTTTCTTCCAAAAGCCTCTCTTTACAACACATCCGTACCAAACATGGTAGTGTCTGAAGGGTACAAAATAACAGTTTTCAATTTGTTTTTCACCTATCTATAAAGCCTTAGATTTATGATGTTCAGGCTTTTCCTAATCAAACAGTTTTTCAAAAATCTATGCAAGCATCTGTACAACATTTAATATTTATAAACACACAATGTTACAGATGTTCCTTTGATGTTATAACAGTATATATAAACATCAAGAAATGGCATACACAATCCTGTACAGAACTTATTCATGTCAGCACCCCCTTATTTGAACCAAAGTATGCATAATTTCATGATTTGAGAATCTTGTAGAATAAAGTTATCAATGAACAAAAACAGTAATGGCCTGTAATTCCTTTATAATAACTGTCACAAAGTTTAGCAAGCTGGAATAGGCAGCAACCCTGTTCAATGGCTTTTTGTAAAAAAGCAAACCCACTAGTTGAGTAATCTTGTCTACATACAACCAACTATTCACAAAGAACCTAGGTAACATCTATGCTTTAAGAGGTCTTTTTTTTTTTTGGCTGTCAAGTCACAGCTGACTTAAGGCAACGCCAAAAGAGCAGGAAATCCCTTCCAGGTGCCTCTCATTCCATTCATCCTACATTCAAATTCCTCAGTTTGACACCAAGACCACCTCATACTGTAACCAAGATAATTATTCAACAGAACTTTTTCAAAAGATGTTTAATTAAATCTAGTGATTTAATGACAACACCTTCCTTAGACAATGTACATTCACTGGGTGCTAACGGCAGGCTCTATTTTAAAAGAGCTCTTGACATTGACCATATTACTGCTGACTTTGCATTTAACAAATAAAGCCCAATGGTAATCCAGAGTGAAAAGAGTGCAGCTCCCACAAACACAGACTCAGCAACTTCTAGTTACCATTACTGCCATGAAGAGCAGTTTTATTATTTGCTTTTCAAACTGAGTAGAAACACTGATTATAATGACAGAGTGCATGACTCAGTGTGCACCTTGGTAACTTCTATGTATTAGCTTGGATCCTATGGTTCTGTTCCACTGGTGAAGCAGCAGCTCCTCCAATGGAAAAGTGGTTTTTGCCCTCCTGCTGCAGACCCCCATTTGCCCCTATTATTTCTTCAGGTCCACTGACCCACAGTTCTGAAGGATACAGAAGGCTGCAATGAGAGGGGGGAAGTAGGGGAGCTGCCATAACATAAGAACAGCACTGCTGGATCAGACCAATAGCCCATCTAGTCCAGCATTCTGTCTCACACAGTGGCCAATCTGTTCCTCTGGACAGCCAACAACAGGGCATAAAGGCCAAGACCTTCCCCTCATGTTGTCTCCTGGCTCTGGGATTCAGTGGATTAATGCCTCCATGACTCACTCTAATCCCCTTTTAAAGCTGTTCATTCCTGTGGCCATCGCAACATCCACTGGCAGTGAATTCTACATTTTAATCACTCTCTGTGTAAAGTAGTATTTCCTTTTGTCCATCCTGAACCTACTGCCCATCAGCTTTATTGGATGCCCTTGAGTTCTAGTATTTTGGGAATGGGAGAAGAAGTTCTGTCAACTCTCTCTCTACATCATGCATAATTTTATAAACTTCTATCATGTCCCCCCTTGGTCGTCTCTTTTCTAAACTGAAAAGTCCCAGACTCTTGAGCCCTTCCTCATAGGGAAGGTGCTCCAATCCCCTAATAATCTTCAGGCCTGTAGCTAAGGTGGGCATTGGGGGGCTATGCCCCCTTTCTTAAAGGCACATCCCCATAAGAACTTCTCCTGTAAATGCTTTTTTCAATCATTTTAAAACATTTTTTAAAAGGAGTGCGCTCCTTTAAGCAGAGTGGGGTGCTGCAGTTGACTAATTATCGCACTGAGCAAGAGGGTTGGAGTAGGTGGCCTCTAGGATCCTTTCTAACTCTGTGTCAACAAACTAGTCTCCTTTAAGAGAGTTTTTCTCCCTATGTGTTAGCTTTCTTGACCCCCACCTGCCGGCTTGTTATCAGAATTGTTGCTTAGGCTGGAAGAAGTCATTAACTTGTAGCAGCTGAGAACTGTCATCTAAAGTTGTTGACAGATTGCAATTCAGAGCTCTATCCTGGTGACAGCTTTCTATTGGCTAAATGGTTTTTCTTTCCACACTGAGAACTTCAGCCCCACCAGAAAAAAAAATTGCCCCATAAGCCACAAAATCCTAGCTACAGGTCTGATCATCTTGGTTGCCCTCCCCTGTATTTTTTCCAGCTCTGCAATGTCCTTAGTCCTATATACAGTATTTCAAATGAGACTGCACCATGGATCTATATGAGGCATTACAATATTGGCTGTTTTATTCTCAATCCCTTTCCAAACAATTCCTAACATAGAGTTTACCTTCTTCACTGCTGCAGCACACTGGGTTTCATTGTGCTATACACTACAACCCCAAGATCTTTTTTCCTCTCAGTTCAGCACGTTTAGACCCCATTAGCCTAAACTTAAAGTTGGGATTTTTGTCCCAATGTGCATCACCGTCCATTTACCAACACTGAACTTCATTTGCCACATTGTTGCTCACTCACCCAGTTCGTGGAGGTTCTCTTGAAGCTTTGGTTTTCACCATCCTGAATAATTATGTGTCATCTGCATCCTGTAGCAGAACTCAGCTCTCAGAGCTTACAATGCCATTGTGTCCAATGATCCCTCTAAGCTGTGGAGTCTTGTGAGCAAAAATTCTACTTTGTGAGCTACTAGCATTAAAGTTGTGAGAGAGCAATTTGGCTAATGCATAAATCAGTTTGCTCTGGAGCCATCCTTACTGAGCTAAGAAAAAAATCTGTGAGCTGGAGGCTAAAAAACTGTGAGCTAGCTCACACTAACTCAGCTTAGAGGGAACACTGAATTTGTATCTACTGCTTATTTTACAAATGAAGAACATTTAATCCACTTACCTTTAATACAATGCAGGTATCATCAGTGCGGATTGCTCCAGCTCTGCACATGTAAGTAAGGCTATAATAAAACATCAATATTGTCAACTTTCATGTATCCAGATAATAAAGTGTTCAGGAGACTAGACTAAACCAAAGAGAAATACTTCATACAATTTACCCAACAGACAAGAAGTAGATTTTGCTATAACACACAAAGAATTCCTCAGACAGCCAGAGAATCTACATTTCCCATTACAAAAAGATCCACATATAAACTAGCAATTTTTATTTAGTGCAGAATTTGTTATGAGCCTCTCTAGCCCTTGCAGTAGAAAAAAACAGCATGCTTAAGCTGTATTTGCTTAACTTTCAGACTACTTCATGTGGCCAAAAGTAGGGTCTGTGTATTTTAGAATGCATTTTTCCCTCTCCTAAGGCAACTATTTTGTGCTGTAGTGCCAATGTTCTTGAAGTCTGCTGCTAAATGCAGTCACTTCCCTTCACCTGAACCCAGCACTCTTTCTCTTCCTAGAAGTTTCCCATAGGGATCCAAGGGATTGGTGCAGCTAAGACAGACAACCTTATTGCACTTCAGATATTAAGAAATTTACTGCATTTACTTGTGTAGTGAGATGAAAGGCAGAGGAGGAGGGACAAGAGATACCTTGACAATTATGGTGATGGAAAGAGGTCCAAGCATCTTCATGGTTAGAAAGGAGGAGAAAAAATGCTCTTTGCCAGAACAGGGCATCCTTTCCAGCTGGGAGAGATAGCACATCAGCCCTTTGATGTGTTAACACCTCTTAATGGAGGGTGCAGGTCTGGCAGGCTGGAGGCCCACAGCACAGCTCATGCCAGAATAGGGTGGCGAGTGGGGTTGTATTAAATTCAAAGTTATCCTTTTTTTCTTTAGCCTCCTCTTTTTTTAGGAGGGGCTGTCTTACATTCATGGTCTTCCTCCTCTCAGCTAAATAATGGTACTGTGTTTTAAGAGCATGGCAGAAATCATGGGTTCATTGAAGTTCATACTGCAAGTTTATCTGTTTATATTTCAAGTACAAGAACAAACAGTCCCAAAATTTGCTTGAAGTAGCAAAACATTTTTCATGAATAAAATCTTGTTGGTCTTTAAGGTACCATTAAATTCCTATATATATTTGCATAGGTATTGATCCTGCATTGAACACATTTCTGCAATATACTTGGGTCCAGTAGGAAGACTAATTGTACCATGCAGTGACCTTGAAAAGCATTACTGAGCCCTCCCCCCTCCCCAGTTCAGTTAGCCCTGCGCTTGTATCCACTTCTATGATGTCATTACTGGAAAGTTTAAGGACAGTGTATCTCCTGGTGCCCATTTCCTCCTTCCCCAAAGCAAAGAGCCAACCCTGGCTTTCCTCCACCTCATTGCAGCAGGAGAACCCAGAAGCAACTGACTTCATGGCAGAAGGATGCTTGACTTGCATCTTCCCAACATTTTGGGATTAGCCCCATACCCCATGGCAGCCAATTTGGGTGACGCCCTTTCCTGGTTCTCAAAATTCTAAAAGTGCCCATAAGCTTGGTAAGATTGGGGACCCCTGTACTAGATAGATAAGGGGGAAAGATCTAATGACGTGCTACACACCTACAATTTGTGAAGAACCAAAATGGGATCAGTGTATTCAATTGGTGAAGGTGGACAGTTGTACTTAAGTGTGCACGTACACAGACGCTATTATATGTTTGCATAACCTCTAATAGACTAAGAAAGGGAGTAAGAAAAAGGTTGCAGCAAAAACTGTAGAAGTTGGTAAATGAATATTGTAGTTAACTTGGTTTTAGCCTTTCAAGGATGAGTTTACATATTAGTGTAGCATACTTATAACTGTCTGCAATCAATATGAACAATTAAATCTATTAAACAACTATGAAATCTCTCATTTAGATGCTAAAGAAGATTACCATTTGGCTGATGTGAGCTGCATTTCAATAGGCTTGTCTCTTTGTAACATCTTCACAAAAATCTGTGGTAATAATTCTCCATCAACCAACACTGCAAATTCAGGAGAAAAAAAATCAGGAAATAATTCAATTGTATCTACACTGTGGATCTACATATTACCACTGAAACTTTCAGCTTACCATTTACAAGAGTCATTGATACCTGGGGGTTTTCAAAGGCTAGAACCAAGAAGCATTTCAGTGCCTGCATTCGAACCTGTAAATACACAGCATTTATATTTACAATTTATGTATATTTATGTTTTATGCATACTCAATAAAAGCTACAATACCACTTTTCATTTAAAAGTTATTAGAAGTTCACGAGAAAGCCCACAGTATAAAATCATTAAATCCCAAAATAAATAAATAAATAAATAAATCCCAATAAAAAATAAATAAATAAATAAATCCCAAAAATAAATAAATAAATAAATAAATATTAAGAAGCAATGGGACTAGACTCATGCTTCTCAAAAGAGGGGGGGGGAGTCACAGATAAATGCTAGCACAGATGTGACCTTCTCTATTATGCTTCTGAAGCGTGCTTGTGTGCAATCTGATTTTTCTAGAAGACATGCTTACTCACTTCTGTACTCTCTCAATCAGCAAAATTTGAAGTTGCATGATCCCCTTTGTTGACAACTGATAATATTTTAAAGTGAGTGCAAGGACTCATATGGGAGTGGAAAATCCCATTCCCTCCCTCCCCATTTGCCACTAGCTCCAGCTTTCCCTCATCTGCTGCCAGCTCTCCTTTTCACACCAAACCACCACCACCCCCAGTTCCAGCTCCTGCTGGTGTTCACATGCCATTTTAGGCAGCTATAGTTATTCAAATTGCTGCTCAACATTTAACTGGGGGGCCATTTGGTTTGTACGTGCACGGATACAGTTTCTGAGGGTAAACATTTTAAAGAGCCAAAACCATACTTGCAGCTGGTTTGCACAGCTATGCCTATCTTTGCAGGGACCAGCACTTGACTATTAGATGTGGGGATAAATATGACTAACTCCTTCCACCTACAGTATTGCAGGCCTTGTCAATCAGCTCCTTTTCTCTGACTTCTCTGCCCTCAAGACACGAATAGGCATAATCAAGCACTCTGCCCTTGATGATATTTGGACAATTATTTTTACCTATAACTTAGGAAGGGTCAGTAGATCTCGTTTTGAGAACTCCTGGACTAAGATGCTTAAATTTAGAGAATAAGGAGCCAAAATAATGGCACCTGGGGCTCCCCACTGCCACTTAATAAAAGGATAAGTGCATGGGGAACATTAACTTTTCTGAGCCAACAACCGGAAACCCCAGTTGCATCCACTTAGATTCTGCTTGGCAGCATGTAAATATAGAGGCCAGAATAATGCAACAAGAACATACTCCATTATAGAATAATGTAACTGGAATATTCATAATTTGTACTTGCAGAACATATCTATCCAGTGAATCATCTTGTGAACAATCAATACACAGTTTCAAATATACAGCCTGTGACAAGTATTTCTTTTTGCATGGTGAAATCATAAGGGGCTTAGAAAGGGATGGGAGATTCAACAACCCTCTTCCTGCATGGTGTGTTGGGAAACTGAGGAGGTGAGATTTCTGCAGTGTCCCAATATACGATGTTACGAGTATTTGCTCTCAGTTCTTTTCCCCTCTCAGCCCAAAAATTTAAGCACTAGGATTAATAAAATATAAACCTTATATCTCAGTTTTCTCAGAACTGTTCAGAAATTCAGGTTCTTACTACTTCAAACTGGTGTACAGATCAGCTGTGCAATGAAGAGAAACTGAGCAACTCAGTATGGTCTTGTTTTGAAGCATGTCATTGTTTTACCTAATATTGCCCTTGACAGAATTTGCCACTGAATCAATTAGTTTGTATTATGAATTGTCAGATGCAAATTTCATGTTGCCACATTTTGTTTGCCAATTATGAATATTACTCCATGTGAAGTATAATGCTGTGCTGAAAGAGACATTCCTTTCCCTCCACTCTTCCATGATGTGCCACTTCCATTTTTCTCTCACTGCCCACAAAAAAAAATCCTTTATAGGAAATCTTTCATAGTGGAAATACCTGTAGTTCCCCCTCCACTGGAATAGAATGCATGCCTATAATTTACATCTTTTCTTGATCTACGTTGCTGCATTGAGATTTCAAAATAGCTTACTTTAAAAAACAGAGATTATATTAATTCCTTACTTTATAAGATGCAGAAGTTAACAGGTGAGCAATATTTTGCACTGCTCCATGGTTAAATAGGACTGTCTGATGATCGGGACCCTATAAAAATAATAAGCCATTTCAAAGAGAGAACATAGATAACAGTGTATCTTAAACACAATTAGAGGCATATTACTTCTCAAGATTTAACAGTGTTCTTTACCAGTAAGACCAGAATGGTTTTTTCCATTATACCTCTCAAAATTAACCAGCAATTTTAGTTATTTTAGGATGAAATCTGGTGACTAATACATTTCGGTTTCATGAAATCAAAATGATCTTTTTATACCTGTCTTCCAGCAATGAATTTTAAATATATATAAACATGAATGATTCTCAATCCAAGTTCCACTCATATTCATTTTAAAGATATAACCAAAAGTCATATATTATGCACTGGATTACCAATTCCTGCCATATGAGTTGTCTTGAAACCTAAAATATGGAAATTACTATGAAAAGGAGACTCTCAGCTTTCCCTTACTAGCTGAGGTCAGTTCTAGCAATAGTGATTGAAGATAAGAGTGTGGTTGTGCTGCATCCTAGCAGGCCATTTTCTCTGACTGAATACATCTTGGGAGGCAGGTTGGAAGTAAGAACCTCAGTGGTCATTTTTCTACTCATATTTTAGTACTCATTTTGGCAATGCTCGACGGTCTGACTGAGCTGCAAAATTAGGTAAGAGCCTTGCACACTTGCCAATGTGTACATCTCAAAGTGACAACCACTCATTCCCACTTTAAAAGACAGGTGTCTTCCAGATTTTTTTCTGGCAACTTTCCTATATATGTTTTCAAAAATGTAAGGACCATAATATCAGAAGCAGACAGTGATGACAAACTCGGCTGCAAAGTCTTTGTAGATTAATGCAGCACATCTGAGCCTTAAGAACTATTTCTCACATGCAAACTGTTGTTGTACATGACCATCGATGGACACCCCTCCCATCTTCTGACTGGGATAAAAGGACTCAAGAGATCTCCATTTCAATTCTTATCTGATGAAGGGAGCTTTGACCCTCAAAAGCTTCTACCCTGAAAATCTTGTTGCTCTCTAAGGTGATGGTGGTGGAAATTGCCATCAAGTTGCAGCTGACATATGACAATCCCGTGGGAATTTCAAAGCAAGAGACATTCAGAGGTAGTTTGCCATTGCCTGCCTCTGCGTAGCAATCCCAGACTTCCTTGGTGGTCTCCCATACAAATACTAACCAGGGTCAACCCTGTTTAGCTTCTGAGATCTGACAAGATTGGGACAGACTGGTCCATACGGATCTAAGGTGCTACAGGACTTGAATCTAGCTGCCCAATACTAGTCTCAGTAAAAGTATGAAGGAAGCAGGGACAATTGTTTGGTGAAGGAAGAAGGCAAAATAAATCATGTTCCTAAATTTTAACTAGGAACCTTATAGCAATGTGAAGGAAAACAGAGGATCTGAACTAATGGAACAAATCAGAAACTGAGACTCAAGTCCAATCATGTTTTATTTTTTTGTTGCTAATGTACAGTTTTTGAATGAGTTGAATATTTCTTTTTAAATTATCTTTATTCCTTCTCCTTGGTTGTTCTCTGCCTCTGGAATTATAGATACCTGGATGTCTGCCCTCTTTCCATCGGGCATCTCTTTTTTAAAAAAAGATCTGAAAGTCCACCTGTGGAACTAGTCTTTTGTCACTGTGAACTATTCAGTTAACTTGACTTTCTATTCTCCATTCCCTTCTCTCCCCCATCCAACATCAGGATGAAGAACATCAGGACCCTGTGGGATCTGTTACAATTCTGCAGGGCCTGCAGGCAGAGATGTTCCGCCAAGCATACGGTTGAGGACAGCAACGACTTTAATACTTAACAGCTCTAATAACTATATGCTCCACTACCTGCTTCCACCCCCTCCCCCATTGTTAATATAAACTGGGAGACTAGAATTGGATTATGGCACCATGTGGGGGGGGGAGTTAATTTAATCTATAGATTTATATTTTGGACTGTTTAATTGGATTTTGTATGTTTTATAAAGCTATGTTGTGAACCGCCCTGAGCCCGCTTGTGGGAAGGGTGGTATAAAAGTCTAAATAAACAAACAAACAAACAAAAGATGAACCATAGACTTAAAGCTAGCCCAAATTAAGGCCATACAAGAAGTTCTACAATTTTATATTTCAGAAACCTTGGAGAAAAGTATTTACTCTATGACAAGCCCAGTTATTATGTACCTTCACTTATCCTTTAAACAGTTCCATATGAATGTAGCATGTAAAGCTCCTGGTCCTTCGTATGAAACACTGAAAACTACCTAGGTAAAGTGTTGGATATTTACTTTGGACTCTGTATTTTCCTATTATGGATCTTGTTGGCTTCTGTATTTTCCTATGAGGGATTTTATATATATGCATTTCACTTCATGGAAGTCTCCTTTTGTATATATATTTTTGCGGGATATTCAGCTCACAGTTGTTTTCTGATTTTCTTTGCTATTTCCTACTGTGAGCTGTGCAGTTTGTTGCGAATCTAAACCCCCACAAATGGGAGGAGCATTCTCCCACATTCCCCGCAGAACTGCTGTTGGGGATTGAGGGACCTTCCTGTCCAGTATGCCATACTGCATAGAGAGGTGGGAGCCTCTGTGAACACAAATGATGTGCGATTGTGCCTCATTCCTTCTACTCTCTGAAACCTCCGATGCCACATGATATATTACTCAACAGGGGCCCCCAACCCACACAAGTGACTTATGGGGAGGGAGGAGGGACTGGTGAGAGAAGAGGAAAGCAGGGGAGATCTGCTTCCTCAAACTACTTCCATCATGAGAGCTTGTAACCAGCAGCATATAATATTGCCCAAAAGATTAACACATGCCAGTACATTGAGAAGACAGGTTTTACTTTGTGCTCAGGATCTAATGAATTATCATATTTAACAGTAGTTGGAAATGAAAGTTTATACCCTGAAAATCTTGTTGGTTTCTAAGGTGCTATTGAACTCCAATCTAATACCATATTTAAGACAAGGGAAGAATTCCAACACCCCCCCCCCTTCCTCTAGCATGTAGTTAATCAACTAACAGTGATCCAAACCAATTTTCCACAAAAATCTACAGTGTGATGGGAGCAAGCCATTCACTTTTGCTCACCTGTGACACACTTGGAAAGTAGACAGGATTCCCTATTTATCTTAGGGTAGGTGATTTGAACTTTATGACCTTTCTAGCTCATCTTGCTTTATAAATTTTAAAATACAGATTACAATAGTTGCCCTACTCTGTTTACTGCTCCACAAGATTGTTTTTGCCTTGGTCTTCAGCTGGTGGCTCCAAATCAGAGCAACAGAACACATCTTGGTTTCTTTTAAAAATTATTTTATTAGCAAATGTACACTCATTCAAGCGAAAAGTCTGATGCTATGCTACAAGAGTTTAACTTAGTAAAACATGAAAAGAATTTAAACTTTGAAGGGTTACTCCAGCAACAACCACCGACAATTTTTCTAGTTAAAAATGCAATTGATATATTGTTATATATAAAAACTTACATTGGCACATAGAAGTGGCTGAGGCGAGGATTTAAAGCCGCAGCTATGCCAGTGTCGGAGCTGAAGAACAGATATTAAAAGATGTAAAAATAAAATTAAAGTCAAGTATAATTTCAAGTTTGCCTATTTTTACCCTATCGTTTTGTAGATCTACTCTCTTTGCAGTGCCACCATTCCTCCCCAATCTCTTTGCAGTGCCACCATTCCTCCCCAATAAACTTTCCCAAACATGAGACTGATTTCAAAAATGAACTCTAGCCTGTCAGGTCTATGTCCAATATTTTAATATAATGGGCAGCACTCGTTCCCATTGTGCATTCAGCAACCATGCATAAAACAGATGCACGTTTCCATAACAAAGTACTACATACATTTTAAAAATATACACATATACATGACTAAGAGCTAGTGTAGAATAATGGCTATGGAACAGATATGGCAATCATGAAGCCATAGGAGTTCAAATCTCATCTCTGCCACAAACTTTGCAGGCAAATTACACTTTTGATAAATCCAAGTATTTCCCAAAGCAATTTCTGGTCAATCAGTATAGCAGAACACACAGAAGTCATATTGTGAAACCAGGCATTTCAGAAAATGCCTTTCACTCAGCTGGCAGGCAATATAAAAATGCTTCATCCAGGTCATTCGGGATACATGTTCCCTGACAAAGTTATCACTTATATTTCATTCTCGTCTGTCATCAACTGTTACAGGTCATTCCAAATTTGTAATACTTGCATCTGAGCTACAGTTGCTCAAACCCCTGATCACTTTGTATCTGTTGCATTAAGTGGGCTGATGCAAACACAAATAAATAGCATGTGGCAGTCATATTTTCTGGAAAGTAAGATTGCAGTTATCAGATCACAAGTCTGAATGCCCCTTCCTTGCAAAAGATTTCCTGCAGGAAACACACTCAGTTCCCACAAATCAAACATGAACACTTGCCTTGTATCAGGTCAGACCATCGATCTCTCAAGGTCAATATGGTTTATTCTGACTGGTAGAGGGTTTCTGGTAGAACACCTACTACTTCCTGATCCTTTCTTAAGTGGAGCTCACTGGGATGCTCTACTTCTAAATAGTGGCCCAATCTTATGCATAGCCTGCCCTAATTCCCAACACAGGAGAAGCGTACAAAATTGCAGGCTGAACTCAGAGGCATCACAGCCTTCACAGGTGATGTACAAAACCATTTAAAAAGCTTCTTAACCTATTTTCCAGGGATAATTTCCAACACTTTCAGCTTTATGCTAAAACCACAGAAACTGGGAACATGAGAAGCTCCCGTATGCACATGGCTGAAGGGTTGGACCAACAAGACAGGATAGTCTGAAAATAACAACAAAGAACAGTTTTAAAGATACTGTCCTTTTAAAACTTTAAATGACAACAAGGGTCCAAGGACATCTCACTGCTTTTTTTATAACCTTATTTTACTCAAGAACCTGAGAAATGTACTGTGACAAACCTGTCATGTAGCTAAACAGTGGATATATAGATGAGAACACAACACATTGCAAGAGAGTAGACAGAACAGAAACAATGTGGGAAGTACTGACACTATTCTGCAAGCGCAGATTTTTTTCTTGGGCATTTTGGAATGGGGCTTGGGAAAGTACGACACGGGTTTTGTAAATGATGACCACCAACTGCTAGCCAATCAATTGCCCCAAAGACCAAAAAAAGCTGTAAGAAGACAAACTTCAGTTGTCCAGCTCCGAGAGCTATCTTTTGTTAAAAAATGTCTCTGAAGTACAGTGACAAATTTTGTGAGGGTAAACTGCCTCGCAGGACAAGTTAATTGTTCTGCAGATTATAACAAAAAAACAATATTCCTGTTGCTCTGATTTGAGCACTTCAACGAGAAGCTCATTAAAACCCCTATGTTGCAGTCCTGCTGTGATATCTCTGGCTAAATTAATCATAACATGTCTATCCTCACCCCATTTTCTCCTCTTAGTTTTCTTTAATGAGAAAAACCACAGAAGTCCTGCATTCAAATGAAAAAATGAGACTGCGCTGCAATTGGCCTTCTGCTTCACTCAAAGACAACAACAACTATCTTAACAATATTATGAAAGCTAAAAGGGAAGCCCCCTGTAGAGAGTAATCATGCTCCTTTCTTACTTTGCAACAATGTGAGAAGATCTGGCATACGTATTCTTGAGTATATCGAGACCTACTGAGCAGTGCCATGAGGTGGGGAATAACTGTAGCATCCTAGAAAGTCAGGAAAGAAAACTGAACATTAAAACTAAAATTAAAAAACCAGCAATCAGTTATGCCTGAAACATGCCGTTTCCTAGCCTCTCCACAAGGAAGCAGATTGGGGCTCTAAATTGGGAGGCTTAAATTGTGCCTATCGAAAAGTTTAATGAGAGATTTTAGAACTATACTCAGCTGTCACATTTTCAGAACAAATGCTTAGCTCATACCACAATATACAGCAGAATTATTAGAAAACAGAGAACTTCGTAGTTGCTCATCACAGATTTTTGGACCTCTGTATTGCTAAGTAATAGTTTGGAAACAATAGCATTTACTAAATGCTTAAGAGTCAGCACAGACCTGAAACAGAATTTGCTTTCATTGCCTTCCTTTTCCACAATTTCTTTTTTTTTTTTAATTATTTTTAACTAGGAGCTAGGCCCGTTGTGGAACCAACATTACGAGCTCTAGATGGATGTGAGATATCCCCCCCCCGCTTCCTACCCGGTCCCCAGATCCTCTCCCGTCCCCTCAGCGCTGCCTCCCTGTCGGGCTCGTCCCCTCGTCGGCATCCCCGGGTGCCATGTGCTGTTCCCGGGACGGCTGCGGTGGTGGTGCTGGCCGCCTCCCTCCCTCCCTCTTGGCGGGCCGCTGTCCCTCCCTCTGTTTCTTCCGGTGGCATCCCTCCTGCTGCACTGCTGTGGCCGGGGCGAGTGGAGGTGGTGAGCGTGGCGGCAGAGAGGAGGCCATACCAAGGCAGGCCGCAGTGATCTCGCCTTGTGTCCGTCGTCGACCTTGCGGTGGCCGTGGCCTAGCTCTCCGCCGCCCTCGCTCACTCGTCCGGCTGCCAGAGGTAGGCACGAGCAAGTGGCGGCGTGAGCCTGGCAAGATAGAATGCAGCATCGGCAGCATAGGCCACTCCGGTTCGGCCCAGGGCCGGAGGGAGCGATGGCTCCCTGCAGACTGAGGTGGCAACGCTGACTGGAAGGTCTGTGGGCGGGACTGATGCGACAGTGCAAGACAAGGCACCCAATGGATAAGGAGCCGGGGTGAGGGGCAGATGAGCTGGCCAACTGATTTTGGTGCGCATCGAATCTTGCCACTCAAAACACGATTATTAATAAGGAGAGATTAAAGTTTTAAAAGGCAATACAGAAATAACGTCACTCAGAACATCAGGTAGTCATACACAATGTTGGTTACAATACAAAAGTGTTTTAACATAATTGTGATAATAAACTAGGATTAGGACATTCAGTAACAGACTGGTAAGGTCGCTGGTCAGTTAATAACAGTCATATAGTAAGTGGTCTAGAAGAAATCCCCATTTGCTAATACATAGTTCAATCTAGTGTGGCCTTGGTATTTCAGAAGTATATAATTGTCCTGTATATAGGGTTTTCTGGAATAATATTTGCCTCTGCCATATAGTTAATGAGTGGATACCAAGTTGCTATGAATTTCTCTTCATATTTGCTTGCAGATAGGTTGATTGATATTTTGCACATGATGCAGTGGTCCCAAATACGGTTTTGCCAGGCTTTAATAGTATGGGGTCATTTGTTTAGTCAGTTTACATCTATGGTATTTCGGGCTATGGCCAAAAGTGTGTGAATAAGTTCTATTGTACGATTGTTTCTGTGAAGATCTGTCCAAATGTTTAGTAGTAGTATTTCTGGTAGAAACGTTCGTAATCAATTGTATGTGTGATATCTGAGACCAGAATGATTGTATATATTGACAAGTCCACCAGCAATGTATGAAGTCTGTTCTATGTCCACAGGTTTTCCTGCAGAAGGGGTCTGTGTCTGTATTAATATGATGTAGGATTGAAGGTGGGAGGTACCATCTTGTCAGAGTTTTTATGGTTTGGCAGTGTATGTTAAAAACTGCTGAGGAGAGGTTGGGGGATGCCCATATGTTTTCCCAATCTTCCTCAGTTAGCCTGTTCCCACAGTCTTTTAGTCATGGTTTTTGGTACTTAAGGGTTTTTGTCATCCAGTGCAATTAAAAGTTTGTAGATTTTGGATATAAGCCAGATAAGTGGGTTTCCAGGTTGTTTAGAAGTTGTTCGAAATCCATCTGGGGTCTTTTTAGTGTTTCAGCTCATTAAGATGATTCTATCATATGTCTGATTTGTATATATTGGAACCACCTTATTCTTTTCCCCAGTTTTTGTTCTAGTTGTATTTTCTCCAAGAGTTTCTTATTGTGTAGCAAGTCTGTAATTTGGGTGATTCCTGCTTTACGCCAGGAATCAAACAGGGTGTTTTCTTGTCCCGGTGTAAATCAAAGTTTTCTTAGAGACAAAACTACTATAAAGGAATTGCATGGGCTGCTCTAAGGAACAGAAGAAGGAGAGTTGATTTTTATACCCCACTTTTCTCTACCCTAAGGAGTCTTAAAGTGGCTTACAATCACCTTCCCTGCCTCTTCCCACAACAGGCACCCTTGTGAGATAGGTGGAGCTGAACAAATTCTGAGGAAACTGTGACTGGCCCAAGATCACTCAGCAGGCTTCATGTGAAGGAGTGGGGAAACAAACCCAGTTCTCCAGATTAGCATCCACCACTCTTAACCACACTACACTGGCTCTAGGGGATGGCAGGCTGTGTTTATTTCCTGTATTTCCTCAAGGACACCTTCAATGAAAGGGATTAATATACAGTACAGAAATTAGCATTATGAGCATCTCATCTATAAATTGAATGCCTCTATCTTTCCCACTGTTCAATATTCAATTCAAAATCTTTAAACATATTAAAATGCTTAGCAGTAGGGCTATCATTCAAATACTCATTCATGTTTTAATTACATCTCCATAAGATTGCATACAAGTAAAGTGCACTGTTCTGTGTGAAAAGCAGGCTTTGTTTTTTATATACATGTGCAAGCAGAGAAGGCACCATTTTAGAAGCAGCATTATTTCCTCTGTCAGGGGAAATGCCTCTAAGATTAATGAGAGGCACCTTTCAACTAAATGTTGCACCCCTACCTCTAGCTGTAAAAACACTCCCAATTATCATGATTGACAACAATCAGTATTTAGTCATTAAAGAATCAAAAGGAGGTACAACCAAGTTTCTTAGCTATTTTCTTATACATTCTTATCTGTCCATAAAACACAACTTTAATTTCCTATACCAGTTACTGCCACATTAAATGTATATTTTTGGAAGAAAGTTATCCCAAATTTCAATATCAATATACAACTCCAGCTTCCCTAAAAATACTATGATTACAGATGTGAAGTATTAAGCAATCAGACTACACATAACTGGATGCAGTCTCTGACTATGCCTTTTGTGTAGGTTTTTGGAACTTCTCTACAGTGCTACCTGGCAGTTTGTTTAGAGCTGGTAAAAAAAGACCAGGGGCTGGATTTTAAGTACCATGAGCCCAGCAGAGGTCACAGAATTCAACTTCTTTACCTTTCCCTCCTGCTACAGCCCATCAAAAACTCCACAGATTTTTGGGGATCCTCATGAACAGCACAGCAGTCAGGAGTAAAAACTTAGTGAAAGCCAGCTGCCCACTAAAAGAAACGCCATTATGCTGGTGTAAGAGCACCTTCAGATACCATTGCAAGCATCCTTTAACAAGCTTCGTATGGCTTCTTATTCCCACAAGAAATAGGATACTGGCTCCATTAAAGCTGTCATCTAGTTGAACAAGATGTTCCAGGAGTAGGGCTATCTTTAAATAATCTAATTTACATCGGAACTAATTTGTTTACATGGGCCCCGGTCACACGGGCAGGAAACTGCAGAGGAGAAGCGTGGCTGTTTGCCCTGGGGCAAACTACTGCGCAGTTACGTGATCAGACCTCCTGTGGAGGTCCTGTGGAGGTACCGTGGAAGTTCCATGGCAAGGGAGAGGTGCCGATCACAGGACAAGCCGGCGCACAACGAAGAAGCGCGCGCCGCGGCAAACTGGTTTTTATTTTTGTGTACATGACAAATGCGCATGCTCCGTTGGGTGCACATGCGCATCCACAGAGACTTGGACAAAAAACCCCACCTTATTTGCAAGGGGACATGGGCGGGCGCCGGATGCCACCGGAAACGCGATCAGACGCCCGCCCTTGCCCCGCAGTTTCCGGAAACTAGTACCTCCAAGGTACTAGTTTTTTGCCACGCAGTTTCGGCTGGAAGCCTCAGTTGAGCCACGGGAGTGCTACGCTTCCCAGATGTGCTGGTGAGATCGCGCCCGGAAACTCCGGCTGTTTTCCGTCTCACTTGTGTGGCTTCTGTTACGTGTGACCGCAGCCATTGTATTTTATGGTTCTATTGTTTTAAATTGTTGTTTTTATGGTATTACATTAAGATTGATGTAAATCGCCCTGAGCCTACCTGTGGGGAGGGCGGTATATAAATCAAATGAATAAATTAACCTCTTTTTTCATTAATAGCAAGCACACGTATATTGGGAGAGATTCCTTTTTGGGAAAAGTTTGGTTTATTGACTAAGAAATTTCTTTAAAAATGGAAACTTCTTGTCTTATAGATAGCAGAAGTAATGAATGACGAAAAACAGTTCTTTCAGTATTTTCAATTAAGGCAGGATCCTAACTCTTGTAAGAAATCCAAGGAGAATAAGACAAAAACCCATCATGAAGGGATTACAGATACTAAATTTTTAAACCCACCATGAAGAGATTGGTGGTGGAAAGTGCTGTCAAATTGCAGCTGACTTATGGTGACCCCTTGGGGTTTTCAAGGCAAGAGACACTGAGAGGTGGTTTTGTCATTGCCTATCTTTGTGTAACAAACCTGGACTTCCTTGGTGGTCTCCCATCCGAATACTAAACAGGGCAGATAATACATGTTTAAAGAGGCAAACAGGTTTATTATAATAGGTAAAGGTGGAATTAGAAATAAGTAGGATAAAGATTTAAATAAGAACATTTCCAAAATAGATTGGATATGGAAAAATGTCCTCTCTAGATAATTTCTGTGGAAATGAAAGAGAAGTTTACGAGAGTTCAGTATCAGTGGTATCTAACTTCATGTAAATTGTATTCAATATATAATAAGATGTATGCTTATTGGAAGATGCTAGGTTATAAAAGCAAACTTTATACATATATTCTGGCATTAAATATCTTGAACATAATGTGTGAAATTACTAGTAATAGATGATTAGATAAGTAATGCCCTTGTGCTATTTGAAAGGATGTTTGATGGAAACAGATCTTGAGATGATCATAAATTTGTTGGCAGCAGCAAAAATATGCACAGTAACCAATTGGAAGAATAAAGAATGTTTGCCCGTATCTGAATGATTCAATAAAATATGAAAAACATATTATATTTGTACTCAAGTCAGATGAAATTGTGTGGCAAACACATAGGTGGAACCATTTTTTCAATAATGTACTGGAATTCAAAATACCAAGAAAGAACACATCCTCATGTATTTTAATATGTTGTGAGGAACCACGGTTTGCACAGATTTTGATACAATTATCTGTATTTGAACTCTCAACAAAGATTATCAAATTTTAAAAAGACATTCTGGGAGTTGAAGTGTTATCACACTCTTTTGGCAGCTGACAGCCCAAATTCAGAAGCACTAGCACTAGACACTTTTTGACCCCTTGAAATACACGGAGTCTAGCCTAGTCAGGGTCCGCCTAGCACCAGAGGAAGTGTATCTTTGGTGACTGCCCAGAAGGTGAGGAGCCTGGGAGTGACACTGGATGCTTCTCTTTCTATGGAGGCCCAGGTTACTGCAGCTGCCCGATCTGCCTTTTTCCATCTTCAGCAGATAAGGTTGCTGAAACCCTATCTCTCCCCCCCCAAAGACTTGGCTACAGTGACCCACACAATGGTCACTTCCAGGCCTGACTACTGCAATTCACTCTATGCAGGCTTACCATTGAGGCTGACTGGGAAATTACAGCTGGAGCAAAATGCGGCAGCACGCCTGCTAACGGTGACACCTATGTGGGCTCACGTTTGGCAAGTACTCCGCCAATTGCATTGATTACCAGTAGAGTTCTGGATCCATTTCAAGGTGTTGGTAATAACCTTTAAAGCCTTACACAGCCTGGGACCAACATATCTGAGGGACCGCCTCTTCCCATATACACCCCGAAGTGCACTACACTCTATGGATCAACATCTCCTGGTAGTCCCTGGCCCGAAAGATCTCTGTCTTGCCTCAACCAAGGCCAGGGCCTTCTCCGCCCTGGCCCCTACCTGGTGGAACATGCTCCCTATTGAGATTAGGGCCCTGCAGGATCTTCTTCAATTCTGCAGGGCCTGCAAGACGGAGCTGTTCCGCCAGGCTTTTGGCTGAGGCAGCAGATGTCCACATATGGCCTCCCTGTGGTTTTTATCATTCTGTTATCCTTGTAACAACTACTGGCCATTATTTATATTTCATCACAGGCTAGGAACCTCCCACAACCAGAAAATTTCTTTGTTATCAGCTGTGAGCACCATTTTAATAGTTATGATGATGTTTTAAACTTTAAATTTTACTGTATTAATCAAATACATATTGTATAAACAAACTGTTGTTACCCACATGGAGCCCGCTTGCAAAAAGGGTGGGCTATAAATATAAATGAATGAATCAATCAATCAATTCCAGTGGAGGACCATCTTTGTACCAGACAAAAAAGAAGCACAAACAGAACAAAGGCACAGGATACAAAGCCCATTTCTCTCTTTAACTGAACTGATTCTTAGCCAAAGAATACTTAATCACATAAACAATTATTTAACTGCAAACAAAACAAGGCTGGATGACCTTGGGCAAGCCGTCGTTCTGATAAGAGCTGTTCTTGAAAAAAGAGCAGTTTCTGTCAGAGCTCTCTCAGCCCCACCTACCTCACAGGGTGTCTGTTGTGGGGAGGGGAAAGGAAAGGAAATTGTAAGCCGCTCTGAGACACCTTTGGGTAGTGAAGGGCGGGGTATAAATCTAATCTCTTATTCTTCTTTCAAGTTTTAACAAATGAAGAAATTGTCAACCATTAGGTTGAAACCATTCTAACCCATTATTTACACTGGTATGTTTCCTGTACTATAATTTTTAGTTACAATATTTTGAGATTATGTTGATATTAAAGTTATTCACAGAATTTACAGGAAGGTGAGAGACAGCCTTACTTGTTTCTACCCCAACAGAAAGCAGTTGAGCCAACATGCTTCTTAATGGGTCACAAAATTCTCAATGATTTGCTTTAATATCTTAGAAACACATGAATGGTGCTTGAAGCTGAAACAGCTCCAGTGAACACAAGAGCCTTGGAATGTTTTCCTTTTCTAAAAGCCAGCCTTCTTTTAGCTATGGCCTTTACGATAGTGAATGGAACAATAGCCATATGAGAAATGTAATTCTGGTCTCAGCAATACGCTAACTTGCACAACACATTAGCAACTAGTACTGCACAAGAGAGAAAAGATGTATCTGGTGTCTATAAACTTACCGTGTACAACAGTTCTTCAGGAGTTACAGGGCTGGTAAAAATGGTGCGAAGACACCTGAGGCAAGCTTCTATAAATTTAAGATCTGGTGACAGTAATCCTGTGAACACAAGTTGAGATACTTTTTCTAGATCTTGCAATGTACAGACAAGAAGCCAACACAGTAACAAAAATAAAGGTACCTTGTAGTAAGGCTGGTATGATATGGCAGTCCAGAAGAGATTTAACATTATTTTCTGTACCCATTGCAAGGCTTCCCAGCACCACTGCACATTCAGTTTTCAACTCTGTGCTGGAGGTCTCTTGCTGAAGCAAGTACAGCAACCTACACATGGAAACACAGAGGAACAGCTTCACCTCAGAGCATAGTTTAAACAAAGAAGTTATTTGTATTCTTTACTTTAAAAGGAAAGGAATTCCACTATCCAAATGAACAAAAATTCTGTCTCTTTTCCTTCCCTATCTTGCATTTATATTGAGCAAGTTATCACAACTAATACTAAAAAGGGAATATATTCCATATTTATTTAGTTCCATATGCTAAATGCCATACAAAATGCAGAATACATATAGTCCTGCTTCAGAGATTTTTCAATCTGCATTAGATGTAAGAAATAGGGAAACAGGCAATGTTATCCAAGACATACAGTGAGGAAAATGGATGAGGGAGGCATAAAGCAATGGAAAATGAGATGGGGAGTTATCAGGAAGGTCCAAGCAAACTTGAAGTAGCACCTAGAGCAGCCTTAGGGAGGAATAGAGTGGCTATTCCGTGGATAGAAGTGGCATGACAGAAGGGAGACACATGAATGAAAGGAGAAGACACCGGGGATTTACAGGAAGGAAAAGAGATAACATCCCATTCCAGAGGATTTTCTGTGAATGCTCCAACACTTTTTAATAGAGGCCACTTACAAGGCAACTTATGTGGCAAAGCTGACAAAAGCAGAGATGCATATGGTTCAGGAAGTTCAGGAGGGAGGACAGAGAGCTGATTGCTCTATGTACTTAAACTGAAGTCTACCTGAAAATACCTGTAACAAGCAGTTCATGTCAGAAGCCACACACACACCATGGCTATGTAATAAAATCTATATAAGGGACAGCATAGATCATACTAGTGGTGGTAAGGACAGATGGAGGACAGTAAATTGTAAACCTTACAAACACAAGTGCCACAGAATCACAGTACAAATATCTGGTCATAAAATTAATGCTGTACTGGGCACATATACTTCCTTTTCTAAGCTCTGATGGTGATTTGGACATTGATTTTCCTCTGTCAACAGTGAAAACATTATGAAAGTGGATGACTTCAATTATCAACATTTTGACTAAGCATGTGTAATCAAGATCTGGACAGAGACAAAAGTTTCCAGATATGGTCAACAAAAGAGTTGAGATGACACTTGCTCTAATACTAAGCAGCATCAATAATGACGCTAAAGAATTAAATGTTGGCAAATTATGTAGGAACAGTGATCACAGTGATATCAAGCTCAGTACATACACAAGTGGAAAACAGCCTAGGAAGTCCGATACATACACACATACATATGAACTTCATTTCAGAAGAGAGAATCTCAAAAACATTAAAAGTTCAGTAGAAATGTATTGCATATAGCTAAAGGTTACAATATAACAGAAATAACTACTTAAGAGGTGATAAATAAAACAATAAAAGCACAATAAAATTGAAAGTAATGTTAATTAAAAGGAAGTTGAGTCAAGAGAATTAAATCCTTTTACGTTTTGAAGTTATTTAAAACTACTATTTATATACTTGCAATATTTATATCCCACTTTTTGGCCCAAACAGGGCCACCAAAGTGCCTAGCAATTAAAATCAGAACATTATAAAACACACAAAATCTGTCAAAACTACAAGCAAAACAAGAGGAAGGAAGGAATGATCAATAAGGGAATGCCAATACTAAATAAAAAAGTCTTCACCTGCCAGCGGAAGAGACTGAGAGGAGGAGGAGGAGGAGGAGATTGGATTTATACCCCGCCCTTCACTACCCAAGGGCGTCTCAGAGCGGCTTACAACTCCTTTCCCTCCCCCTCCCCACAACAGACACCCTGTGAGGTAGGTGGGGCTGAGATAACTCGACAGAAACTGCTCTTTTTCAAGAACAACTGTGCCAGAAGGTCCTCCAGCCAGGTGCAAGTGGAGGAGTGGGGAATCAAACCCGATTCTCCCAGATTAGAGCCTGCGCACTTAACCACTACACCAAACTGGACAAGAGGACACTTAAATATCTCAGAGGACAGAATTCCACAGTTTTGGTGGCATGAGTCAGAAGGTTTCCATACACCTAACTCAGAAACTGGGGGACAGCTTGGGTTTCCATACACCTAACTCAGAAACTGGGGGACAGCTGAAGCAGGATATCAGAAGATGAGAGCAGTGTCAGGTAGGCTCATATGGGAGTAGGAGGTCCTTCACATATGCTGGTCCTAAACTGTATAAGGCTTTAAAGGTCAGCACTAGCACCTTTAATTGGGCCTGGAAACAGATTGGGAGCCAGTAAAGATGGACCAAGACTGATGTGATATGGTTCCTACAATGCACTCCAGTCAGCACCCTGGCTGCAGCATTCTGTACCAGTTTCTGAACTTTTTAATAGCAGCCCCACACTGTAGTAATGTGTTCCAGATTTTACCAAGGTGTGCATCACTGTAGCTAATGTACTACAACAGAGGCACAAATAAAAGGTATATCCAGGGGTCGTTTCCTACTGGAGCACCCCGGAGTGGCGCTCCAGCAGAAACAAGCCCAGCCCCCCCCCGGGGGGGGGGAATTAAATGCCTGGCTTCCCAGCCTGATCTTCTCCAAGTGCCCTGCAGCCAGGCATGTCTCCCCGCCTCCCCTTCCTTCTCCAGACAGCCCTCCTTTCTCCCTGAGCCTCTCCGCTTTTGTGGAGATACTTGGGGGGGGGGTTAAATGCCTGGCTGGGGAAGCAAAAAGGGAGGGAGGCATCTTCAAAAGCCTCCCCTTCCCTTTCCCAGCCAGCCTGCCAAGGCAGGCTGGGGGGGGGAGCGAAGAGAGAAGGGGTTTAAAGTTTAACCCCCTCCTCTCTAGAGTCACGCCACAGCGGCGGCACAATGGAAAGATCGTGTGTCAGTCCAACTGATTGCCATTGGAATGCTGATTTTTCTTCCTTCTAGCCCACATCCCTTCTAACCTTCAAAGATAATTCTTAGGATTGTGGGACCTCTGTGCATGAACAGCTTGAGGAGAATGAAAAGATAAAATCCCTGGTGATTAAATCCTTCTTCTGTCAGTGCAACCTCCCAGCCTACAGAGCTGTGTATCCATGTGGGTCCCATAACTTCAGGAATAATCTCTCTATTGGGTTGGGGTGCAAGGAAAATTTGCATACTTCCCATTGTGGAATACAAACCATTATATTTTAGGTATACATCTTTAAAAACTTAATGCGATTTTGGGGGAAATATGCATTATGCAGTTATTGTCACAAGCTTGATTCCCTCTTAAGTGTTCAGTTGTGACAAACTTGGATTTTTCTGAAATATAATGTGTGACATGGCTCTGTGACAGATTCAAATACTTCCATGCTTTAGCTTAGAAAGCATTATGTATGTCTAATACACTGGACCCATTCCAGTCCAGCTTTTGTCCAGGTCACAGGACTGAGACGGCATTGGTTGCCCTCACAGGACCTCCGAAGGCATCTGGATCAGGGCAGGTAGGTGGTACTGTTAGACCTGTTGGTGGCATTCGACATGGCCGACCACCAGTTACGGATCCACCACCTTGCCGAAGCTGGGATTCAGGGGTCTGCCTTACAGTGGCTCTCCTCTTTCCTACAAGGTTGGGGACAAAGGGTGGCGCTAAGGGAGCAGCTGTCTCAAAGGTACCCACTGGTTTGCAGAGTGCCACAAGGGGCTGTCCTCTCCAATGCTCCCTCTAAGCTGTGGAGTCTTGTGAGAAAAAAATCTACTTTGTGAGCTCCTGGCATTAAAGCTGTGAGAGAGCGATTTGGTTACTGCATAAATTAGCTTGCTCTGGAGCCATCCTTCATGAGCTAAGATAAAATGTGTGAGCTGAAGGCTAAAAAACTGAGCTAGCTCACACTAACTCAGCTTCGAGGGAACACTGGTCCTCTCCCCAATGTTACATAATATCTATATGTGTCCCCTTGCCCAGATTGCCCAGAGGCATGGGCTGGGTTGTCACCAGTATGCGGATGACACCCAGCTCTATCTGTTGTTGGGCGGCCAGTCTGACTCAAGACCAGAAGATCTAGATGTGGCATTACAGGCCGTAGCAGGGTGGCTTAGGCTGAGCCAACTGAAATGGAATCTGACGAAGACAGAGGTCCTATGTCTGGATCAGAGCTGTCCAGGGTTAGGAATCCCACTTCCAACCTTCAATGGGGTGCCATTGGTACCAGTGTTGGAGGTTAGGAGTTTGGGAGTGCTCTTGGATGCCTCCTTAACAATGGAGGCCCAGGTAGCAGCCACTGCCAAGTCGGCCTTCTACCATCTCCGGCTGATTAAGCAGTTGGTTCCCTTCCTCGAGCACGATAATCTGACAACAGTGATCCATGCGATAGTCACCTCGAGATTAGACAACTGTAATGCTCTCTACATGGGGCTGCCCTTGTCTCAAATCCGGAAGCTACAGCTGGTGCAGATTGCAGCAGCCAGACTGTTACTGGGTCTCCCCTTGAGGGAACACATTCAGCCTGCACTGAAAGCACTGCACTGACTACCCATAGCATACCGGGTTCGCTTCAAGGTGCTGGTTATTACCTATAAAGCCAGGGGCCTGCATACCTAAGGGACCACCTTTCCCCATATGTTCCCCAGAGGGTACTGCATTCTAGATCACAAAATCTCCTCACTCTTCCCGGCCTCAAAGATGTCAGGATGGCCACAACAGGGGCCAGAGCTTTCTCAGCAACAGCACCGCTTTGGTGGAATGAGCTCCTAGAAGTCATCAGGGCCCTACAGGATTTACCACAATTCCAAAGGGCCTGCAAGACAGAGCTTTTCTGCCAAGCATTTGAGCAAAGTGGTTAACATCAACTGACAAGTGGTTAACATCTACCCTGGCCGCCTGCTCTAATATCCTCGCCTATACGGAGGAATTTATTTATATTTATATTTATTTATTTATAGTTTCAATTTAATATCCCGCTCTAATCCCATAGTTGGGGTCTCTGAGCGGCTTACAAGTTTTTCCTGGTGCTAATCACCGTTTTATGTCCTAGCTAAGGCCACAATGTATAAGGGAATGGGACAACCTACCAGCACCCCCTCTGTGGTGGCATGTCATGATGCGCACAGAAGCCA